CGAGAAACATGCAAAACGGGACGGAAAACATGAAATTTTGCAATAATCTTGCGCCACCCTTGCACAAAACGACGATAATTTTTCTAATTTTATAGGCAACAGAAGACTGTGGATCCGCCCCTGAACAGAGCGCAAATTTCCGTTAGAACGCTGACAGAAAAAATTGGATAAGCAAAGCGGGAAGTGCTTAGTGCTTCGTTGCAGAATTTGAATGAAAGTGAGCTTACCGGGTTCTGGCATAGTCCAGAGGATAGACAAAGCATAGACTGGTGGCCCCAGCCGCTCCGCCTGAAGCTAAATTTCCCGCGAAATATCGCCAGAACTGCGTGTTTTTGTTGACGCCATCCAGAAACACTTTTTTGTACGTGTCTTTGAAGGCAAAGTTGAGGGCCTGCGTCGGGAAGTACCGAATAACGTTAGCCCAATTGCCGCGCCAATAACTGGCGAATCCTTGCTCCCTTGGGATGCGCACGAAGCAATCTATCATGCCTGTTGTAAAAACCGTTATTAGCGATTTGTGGGAATTTTGAAAAATGATGATCCATACCTTTATAGCGCTGCTCTTGGGTGATTTGCTTTGAAACCTCTTGGACTTGCAACAGCAACTTCACTCGTTCGATGGGGGCTACGGCCGTTTTTGCGACGGCCGCCGAAATGCCCCCGGCGAGGAAATCTTTGATAAAACTGTTCATGTCGCTCGGCATTTTGCAATTTCAATGGAAACTTTGCACTAGAGGGAAATTTTTATATTCAATCTACACTGTGTGAGTTTCGATTTTGAGTAACTGTCAAAATGACATCTACTGCCAATGGTGTGGGCGAGGTTTGATGTAATTCATTAAGTTGTGCTCTGTTTCACCTGCACGTTTAAACAAGGACAGACAATGAGGCCGGTGAAGTTTTTGTAGCAATTAATACAATGCCTTAGAAAAATGTGGATTGATTGATTTTAAAATACCACTTTTTGTATTTTAATTTGAGTGAGAAAAAGTTACTGAAATTTATGCGATAAGCGGATTTAATAGTTCATTAACTCGCAGAAAGAATAGGAAATTCTACATCGACAGAATGATGTTTTGTATCGAGAGAAGAATAAACAAGGCTTGATATATTTTATAAAAACAATTTAATAAAAATAGATATGGAACGATCATGGTACAAAATAAATACAAAAACTCCGATCACACGGACAAAATTTATATATACACCTACAGTTAAACAAAAAACTAAAGGATTTGAAATTGTTGCCTTTTTATTATACTAAATATTAATCTATAACAAAAATTATATAATAGTCTATGTTCAATAGGTACAATATAAAACAAACTTTTACAACTACTTACACGGTTAAGTTGCCATCTGTTGGAAAGTCTGTTGAAGCAGCCGATCATCAGCTATTGAATTTCATTCATCCAAGCTGCTTCACGCAGCTTCCAACATTAGCAGAAATATTTACAAATTCAATGCATTTTCTTATAAAGAAAATTGTTTTCGCATAGACAAAGTATGTACAATTCGTCGTTAGACCAACGAAATAATTTGATATATGCTTTATATATACAATTTTATCTACGACCTCAAGCGGCCAACTGGCAAAAGCTACAAATTTCAACTGTAGATTGCCAGCGGCCAGCTAAGTCTATACGGTCTACAAAAAAACCAAATTCGATAAGTTTACTGATGATTTTGCACTCAGCAATTGCCCCAGCAAGAAGTGTTTAACACGCAGTTTTGATACAAAACATCATTTTGTTGGGTGATTCTATACAGGATGAGTCAGCGAAGCGATTCTCTTAGATCGTGCAGAAATAGCGACAAAAAAAAACGTTCATATAAAACTGTGTTGTTACTTTGAACTATACGGGGTAACAACCACAACACTTTTATATAAACGTTTTATCAGTCGTTATTTCTATACGATCTACGAGCCAGTCTCGCTTCGCTGACTCACCCTGTATATCCCGGACGTTTTTATGAATAGAACCAACCGCCGCTATTTGAGAATGTTTTTTACAAGCGTCGTCAGTTAAAACGATAAATATTTTTTTTGCTTCTCAGTACCAGTGTTTGCCACCCGATTTAATCAGTAAACAGAATAGGAAGATTAAAAAATACATTAACAGCAATGTAAAATCCAAAACTTGTGACTGTTGTGAACTCTTATTTCAAACGCGTCACTTAATTACTGTATCTGCAAATAAGTTATTTGCATTACTAACCAACCGAGCTAAATTAGCTCCAGTAGAAATCGACAAATTTTCAAATAACGAAAGCCAGTGCCAATGAAAACGTCCGTGGGCTCATCATTTTCCTTAAGGTGTCGAGTTAAGACGGATATTTACCGGTAGCAAAAAATGTTTCAAAATCAGCTTAAAAAGCAAATAACCAAGCATGCACTAATATCGAAAAATGAAATAAAAACGAAAAATCCGACAAATAAACTGTATTTGGCTCCAAAAATCCAGTCACTGTATATAACAAATAATGTAAATTGTGAAAAACAAGTTCAAGAATTATTCGTCGCGCACCCAACTGTCGGACCGAAACACGTAAACTGACAATTTTTGCTCTAGGATGAGCAGGAAAGATTGCAAAAACAGCAACTAATCAAACAAGACAAACAGAAAATGTTTACTTAGTCGCATAGTGGCGCTTGTATGAATACGAGAAAGGTACACAAAGGGCAACTATTCCAACAAAGCTCATATTTTCTGGTCGGGATTTTTAGAGTAAACACAAAAATCGCTTAAGGGACACCGGAATCTTTTGTGGAAAACCACAGCAATGATTAACAAAGCGCCCTTCGCAAGGAGACAATTGCTTAGTACAAAACCTCTATCACATACAAGATGTCTCGTGTATAAAAATGCCCAGCCAAAACAGTGACTTTCGTTTGGGCCGCGCGATTATGCAGCAATGCGACCAGCGTTTTAGACTGTAGCTCGGAGACCACCACCAATCATCTCAACACAGTTCAGCCCGGAGGTGGCCAATATCACAAAAATGAGACTGAGACTGCAATACTCCAGTCGGTATCACTTAAGATACGACTTGTACAACAGTTTGCTTTTGCACAGGTCCTTCTCCGATTCGAACAGAAAGTGTATGTCGCGCATTGTTACCTTTTTGATGCGTTGCCGTAACGCCATTTGACTACGCGAACTATTATTCTGTCCCGACGACGAACTCTGCAAAAAAAACCATCCGGTTAGTTGTGTTGAATTCTCGCTGAAAGCTGATTTTCCAATAGAGCTTAATAGGATTCGATGAGTACCTGAGAATTTGATGTAAAGTCGTTCTCTAAACGCGGCTTCTTCCGAGGTCCGATGGCTTGCAAGGCGGTTGCGTTCGCCTCTCTTTGCCGAAGTTCTTCCATTTCGACTCTTTGCATTTCTTTCGCTTTTGCTAAAAAAAAACATGTTTTATTTAAACATTCAAATCACGCCACTTCATGCTGTTAAGTGACTTAATTGATTAGGAACATTTAGGATTTTTTCAGGAATATGCCGGAGCTCAACTGTCGTTGACCATTGCATGTAAAGTATGTTTTTATTGTAAACTTGTTCAAATTAACCCAATGCTTTATAGAATATATTAACGTATGTGTTCGTTTAAAAGAACCGAGCTTTGAAATCCCTTTACAGTTACCTTTGAGTTTTGCCTGTTCTGGATCTTCAGTCTTAGACCGACTTTTGGCGGCTCGTAACAGCATCTCCCTCTCCAATTCCTCATGCTTTTTCCTCTCAGCCTTGTCAAGGTCCTCCAAGAACTTCAATTGGCCTACAAGCAATAACGTTAGGGCCCACAGGACGCGATTGGGGGCACGCTGAATGTATACCTTTAACATCGTTCGTAATCTCATATCTGGAATCACTTTTAACAATTTCTAGTCGGTGTTGGGTGATCACAGCTAATCTCTCGACGAGATACCGGAGTCTTTCTTGCGCCCCATGCGAGATGCACGCCGCAACGTCGCCCGTACTCGGGTCGTCCAGTCCGTGCTTTGCCATAATTTGCCTAATCTACAATCAGTTGATTTTTTAAGTGGGTCCAGCTGGAAGAAGGGGGAGATATTTACCTTATTCTGTAGTGGGCCCAATGAGCATAAAATATCTTCTTTACAGGACCGAATTTGCGTGCCCACATATTCGGTTGAGCCGAGAATTTTTTGAGTTTCCTCGGCCAAATTCACGCCGCCCATGGCCGCGACATCATTGATATCGTCGTCTCCAGTGTATGCTGCCGAAAACGATTTCTTTTCTGCAAGTGACAAAACGCGTCAAGTATCGACCCCTTTGCAAAGTTGAATTTTAGATACCTTTCTCTTTGGCTGAGGAGCGAATTGTCCCCAGATTAGAAATCACCCCTTTTCCTCCCACAATCTGCACACTCTTGCCACTTGACTGCGCTAAATTCCGCTGCGGCACGGGCCTCCCCTGGCCAACAGGCCGGACTTGAACTGACCGAGGTGGGGCTGGTCTGGTCTGTTGATTCAAAATTTGGGCCTGCTGTTGACCGCCAGCTCCTGCATAAACTGGATGAAGCGCCGGCGGCTGCGAAGATGAGATCGAAGACTGTTGGATGATGGTCCCTTGTTGCTGCATGCCAGATTGGCCTGCCTGTCGGATTGTTGTCACCTAGAAATTTACATTGTTAAAAAACATCCAAGGAGAATCTCCCGCTTGTCTGGTCTGCGCCAACTCACCATCCTTGTTTGCTGTAAAGGTTGGCCTCTGAGCGGCCCGATGACTCTTTGCTGGACGAGACCGCCAGGCGCTGTTGGCGCTCGAACTACCGCAGCTCCGGGCCCGACAATCCGCACTTGTTGGCTGGTTAGTCCGGGGGCGGTGCTCCTTACGGTTTGGACTGTGGGCACACTTGCCGCCGAAAAGACTACATTGGGGGGCGGCGGCCTGATTCCATCGATCGTCAGTTCATTGTTTGCCAGCGAGTGCCGTAGAAGTGGCAGACTTTTCTGTAAGAAAACGTAGTTTGAAACGCTGGAGCGATGAGCAGTGTGGGGGATGCACGCTTAACACGTTCTTCTTCGTCGCCGGAGGCAGTTGATTTGGACATTGAAGCTCAAATCATGTTTGAAATCGATTAACAGTTCCAGTGGGGTTGGTGACATTTGTCAGTTTATTTTTAAGTAAGCAAAGCGACCGGTAGGGAGGCATTTTGCGACATTTGCAAGGCTCTGTGGCCTAATAGAGCGCTAGCCAAAAGGGCATTGAGTATAGAGGCTGAGCTGAATTTGATCTGAGAGCCCAATAGACGAGCTAGAAACTAAGATCGTTTCTGGATTAACTTGATTGGAACATGCTCTTTTGATGGAATGCAGTCCCCACATAGGATTGAAGCCAAACGAACCTTTAGAAAGCCGATAAGACATGGCTGTGGACTTGCGTTGAGCAAGCGCTCCAACTTATCACAGAAGTCCTCGGGTTCCACCTTGTTATCGATCAGTTCCTGTATCAACGTTCTTACGTTTCGTTCGACGGATTTGGGTTCGCGACTCGACAGCTCGAGCAAATTGGCCAGAAACTTGCGGCATTTTTCTTTGGTATTATCGTTTGCTGGCCGCTGAAAAACCACATTAAATTAACGTTGGAAACCCGCCAAACAGAATCAAATTACCTGTATGGGTTGCGTGGTTTGCACAATGGGCTGTGTGGAACTGACTGTGGTGGTGCCCCCTGCCTGCACTGGATTGGTTGCTGCAGTGGATACGGTTTGCTGTAACGCAAAACACTCGATTACTCTTCAAATTCTGGGGGATTTGCGTTCTGAGTACTTACCGCAGGGACAGTCTGCATGCGAAAGGTCATTGGTTGGCCGCTCGCTTGAGACGTTGTTAAGTTGGTTGTTGCAGTCGCCGGTCCAACTCGCAACAGTTGATACTGACCGTTTTCGGTTTTCAGCAATAGGGCCCCCTGTTGACCCGGTTGCAAACCGTGAAATGACTGTAACGTTAGTTGCTAAAAGACCGAGAGACATACGGACATCGTTAGACAAACATACATTCAGCACGGAAGCAATGGCTTTATATAATACATACGAAGCACATTGAGCGATTGTGTTCTAATTTTCATCAACACAGTGTACAGGCAGTGAACAGCATCTTTGAAATGGTAAAATGCTCTGGCTGTCCATCGCCTGCACACCTTCAGAGGCCAGACTGTGAGTAAAGTTGCAGATAGTTGGATTTAATTCCTAGTGAGTGGCTTGGAAACTCAAGTGGTTTAAGCGCAAAGTAAAGTGACCATTGGAATGTGCGAGCCGATAAGGAAACTGATCAACAAAGTCCTTTTTAACAACGTATCTGAGAATCTGGCAAGATGTGTCAAAAGACCTTTTGCTTGCACATAGGAACTATGGGCTTTTCTAATAAATAGTTTAGGGTTTTCGAGATTGGGCTTGATTGTTTCGCATAACAATCAGCTGAAGTTTAAGTGGAAACATGATTGGCTAAGTCGTAATAGTCTCACAGTCTGGTCGCAATAAAATTTAAAAAATTCAAAATAAATACACAACATTATCTAAATACGTGCAGTGTGTAGCAAAGTTGTTAATTGATTCCCCGAAAATAATAAAAAAGGCTTGAGCCCCACATTTGCAAAAACTCAACTGATGCTACACACTGTAAACTCCCACTGTTGCACAGAAAACATTTGGACAAACGTCCAAACAGCCTGCATTAAATAACATCTAAATCCCTAATTTACTTTAAGGAACGATCAAATCTAAGCTAAGTGTTATGATATGGCTACCCCAGCACCAAGTATTAACAAAGATAGATAGTTAGTGGGAACTTAGTAACGAAAGCAACATCAACTCAGACTGAACGAAACTGCTAAAAATAAACGACGACAAATCACAAATACGATCTACTGCAAGTACTGGACCTACTCATGTCCAGCTGATACCGACATAATGTACTGTTTGGCGAATAGGAAGGTTTCGTTTCACCCCCCCAACTAGCAATTTAAGCAGTCATATCAGCCAAGCGAAAACCTTCCTATTCAACGGCAAACTAAAACTTACAGGTGTGCCAGGGCGGGCGCCTACAAGCCCAGGGGCGGCACTCAGAACGACCCTGGCTTGCCCTTTGGTTTGGCCCCCCTGTGGACGTGGCATATTGACCACTTGCAGATTTGATAGGATTGGTTGAGATGAGACACCGATAGTTGTTTGAATGCCTTGCGTGCCCTGCAATTAGTTCTCGCCAATTTGAGTAAAGGAATGGGGGTGAGTGGATGGTTTTGGGGCATGTTAGTTTTCCCAAACGAGAACAGAAATAGATGTGAGATGCATTAGATGCTATTAGAGTGAGATGTTGATCATGTCGACATAAAGCAGTAAGTGTTGAGTTAATGAGAAATTGTGAGCAGATTTTTCTGAGGCATAGAGTGACTTACATTATTGGCCTGTTGGACGGCATTTACTGGAACGGTGACCAGGCCGGGTGTTCCACCGGGATTTCCTGCTTTGAGAACGATTGTCGGCGCTTTCTGAACGGGAACTTGAGGGGAGGCGGTTGAACTCAGTACCTGAAAATTTTATGTTGTGTTTTTTAACAAAGCATTTGTGTATAACGATGCACTCCATATTGAAAACGCAAAACGAAGAAAATCACACTACTGTTTGGATAGTCACTTCATCTCAAGAATAAACTGCTTATGCGAGTGTAAATAGACAATAGTAGTTTTCGATACAAGGGCGAAAAGTATCGCCGTCAGGAGTCAGGAGTTCGAAAAACGGATTTTCGCCCTCGTATCGAACAATGTTTTTTAATCGAATAAAGGACACAGCACGAATAATAAGTTATAATAAATAAAAATAGCCAAAAATAAAAGCCGTCAACTTCATATTTAAAATTTGATGTCAAAGCCATTTTTGAAATTGTCATGTTTTGACGTTGTTGTCATGCATATTTTGCATAAAATTTGCGATCTGTAAAAAAATCGCGTTTTGCTGTGGCAACATCGGCGAGTGCAAAAAATAGACCATTTGAACGACTTTGAGAGTGAACTCGTAACAAAGTTATAATTTACAAATTGTAAGTAAACTTTAAATTATGATCAATAGCTCTCTATAAATCTACGTAATTCATTAAAAAGCCTGTCGTTTACTTTTTAATGAAAATACTTCAAAATATTTTAAGACAGTGGAACGTCCAATTTGTCAGATTTACTTTTTGACTTTTTGATTTAAAATTTTTACTTCTGATCGAAAAATGGCACTTTTAGATTCATTCGAATGAAAATAATATTACGACGAATGACAGATGTCCAACCAATAGAAACACTTTCGCATCATCGCACAAACGGCTGCATGGGACACGGGCTTTAGATGTCACATGCCATGTCAGATTAGACATCGATGTCGCCGACTGAACGAGCCTTAAGTCAAACATCAATACATTCATGCTAATAATCACAAAACACTGAAATGAGAACGAGAGCAACCTACTTGACGTTTTTCTTTGAACAAATGCCGAGTTTTCTTTAGGGCCGATTTACAGTCGGCAATTTTATTGCCCGCAATATTTAGTTCTACGCCTGCGCATTTTATCGCACTTGTCGGCTATAGTTCCAAACCTAACATTTCTTGCAACTTGAGGGAATTTTAGTGACATCTGTAACTTATGTTAATCACAATAATTCCCTTCGCAATATAATTGTAACCTCAATCGTAAACAAACTTTGGAATTTTCGCGTATGGTGAATACTTGGTACGCTTGATCGATTTGTCTAAATGTGAGGTTTAACATTGCACACTGTAAAGCGGAATACTAAAATTATAGCTGCAAGAAAGTTGCGGGCAATAAAATAGCCGACTGTAGAGACCGACCGGAAAAACTCCAGGTTTTTGGGAAAAAACTAAAATTTCCAAATAGAAGCAACAAATATAGATAGATTTGCAAGGAAACCTGTGCCAAGCATGCCATAGCAAATCCAAGCATTCAGCTTCACATACAAGGAGCAATTAAGTGAAAACAATAGTAAATCTGTTACATCGTAAAGCACATGGCAAAGAACACATGTCAATAGCAAATGACATCTGTCATTGATTAACCACAAACAAAAACAAAAACCCATCGCTAAATTGGAAAGCCAGCTAGAAAGATCTGATTGAAGAGTCCTAGCTGGAGGTTGTAACCTATTTCATCAGACCGCCAATTTCACCTATCGCATGCCTGGGCTGGAAAACCGGCGAGAATTGGGGCTTTTCGTCAATCAGCAATAGAAACAATGATGAAAAACTCCGTTTCTAAACCGAGTGTGATCTACAAATGCACAACGCGGGGCACTTGTACATCACATGGGCTGCCTTAAATTCTACGTGAAAACAAATGTATGCAAACCGTTTGGGGAGCCATGCCGATGGTCCCGTTAGGTAATTGGGTCTGCTGAGGTCTCTGCTGGATCAAGGTGCCTTGGCTGCCTTGTGAGTAGACGATTTTTAACCCTTCGGGGGGTTTCTGGTCGTTTTGCTGTAACGTGTAGGTCGACGTGATAGTCGGCTGCTGAGTAGCGTTCATATACGCGTTATTAATTTGTTTATCCACAACACTGGTCATATTGCCGCTAATCGAGTCACCGTTGGCGATTGTCCCATGTTTCTGAGGGGCTGCCCCAGTCCCGCCGTTTGAGATGGGACTGTTTACGTGGTTCTGCTGCAAAACCGTATTCGTCTGTTGAGGGTGAGGCGCCGATGAAACTAGTTGATTTTCTAACGAACCCACGATTGCACTCACGGCCGATTCGTCCACATCTGTGTTTAGAGCTTCCTCGAGAAACTTTGCTGACGCCATTTTCCGAGACTCAACTGAACAAATAAAATACGCATGGTCAGGGAGCTTCTGATTTTAGGCCCTGTTGTCGGCTGCTCTCATCAACAGCCGATTATCACTCCCTGATGGCTATTTCTCGCTAAAGCTGTGAGAAAGAGCTGATTAAAAATCGCGGCTTTTGATTATTAAAGCCCATTTTTGCTGGTTGAGGTCTGCGACGGCAGATCATATTTTTGAAATTGTTAAATCAAGTGGATTAGCATCCGGGAACTGAGACGCTGCCGAGGATCTGGCACCCATGGAGACGACTGCGCATAGGGTGTGAACAGGTCAAATGCAGAAAAGCGTATGAAACAAAACTTGAAATATCGCGAACATAAACCAAAGTGACTCGATTTTCGACGGGGCGAGCCATAATTTACAAACACGATCCAAAAACTTGAGCGCGCCACCTCTACTCTTTAAGAGAGCAAACGTGTCATCATCATCTACACATCTTGGGTGATGTCACTAATCACCTAGCTAAAGGCGGGAAATTCAATTGACCGCTCGCAGTTCGCTCACAATTGATAAGCAACTACAAAATCCCAAAGAAAACAATTTGAAAGCGACAATTTTACCAAAATCGAGCGGTTGTCTCGAAAGAAAACGAAAAATGTGCTTTTATTAGAGTTTAAAACTTACTTTAGCTTCTTCCGGTCCGAAGGGCCTTACTTCCGACGTTATTTAGCGGAAATCTCAAAGGGTGGTTGACAGAAGCGGTTAAATGACGCTTGTCACGGCATCAAAGTTAAACATCTTAGACAAAGAAAGACAAACTCTCTAGTGTGAGCAAATGAACGACTATATGGTCGTTCATAAACAGACTGTCTTAAGAACCCGCTCCTAGCTACAAACGAGCGCCGTTTCTAGCAGAAACGTCCAAACTTCAAACAATAAGTCAGGTAAGGATTCAATATTTTATTAGTAAAACGTAATTATTTGCTAGGTTTGGGCCACCCTAAACCCCTGGAATTATCATGAAAAATATTTACTAATTTACAATTTAATAACCCAACCAGGCAATAAGATCACATTTGCTTGTCTCTAGTTTTTACAATGAGGAGACTAATTTGGTAAATTCCTGCGTAAATCCTAACTTAGCTACTTGTTCCAACTGACTCCCAGGATATTCCGTGCCTGGAACGATAAAAACAAGATATTAATCGATTTGGCTTGATATATATTTTTTTGGTGCATAAGCGCTGCAGTGCTGCAGAACTCTTTTACAGAGAGAGATGGAGACGTTACTTACGTACTTCACACTTTGCATGCAGTGTTTTAATCATTAATTATGTCATAATAAGTACAGGTGTGTTCATAAGTGTCCCAATGATAGAGTAAAGTAAGTTTACGTTTAACCGGTATGATTTGTTCCAAAATTCTGCTGGTTATATTGGAAAGGTTTCGGGGGATGTTGCCAGTTCAACCCAAAATAGGCGGAAAATCAAACAAGACACTTGCTCCTAAACTTTGGCGATTTTACCCCCGTCTTGGAAATTAAATTTTGCGCGTAAAACCCGCGCGGGTCGATAAACATGTCTCAAATCTATCATTCTTTCATTCAATCAAAATTTCCAAATAATACCGCTTAAGCAAGCCACAACTTCCATTACTCCATCCTTGGGACACCCTGTATTTATTTTAAAATTTTTTACTTTTTTAGAGCCGCTTACGCACCATTTTGCTAGTGTTCGAAATGAAATTCTAAACTAAAAAAAAAGTTCCAATAAAAATATGTCCGAGAACGGTTAGTTTAAGGTGTAAAGGGCAACTAAAATTAATTTACAAAACATGTTTTTTTAAAACCTTTATTGGTATTTGAACGAAACTTAGGTAGGAAGACTGCATCTTTAAACGAAATTTTTGGTAAAAAACCTAAATTAACTTTGGAGCGCTTCCAGACCTTTTTACGGAAAGATCAAGAAGCAAAACAAATGTTGAACCGATTGGAGTCGTGTTTATCGACTTGAAGCCAAGTTTTATCCCTTTTAGAGCCTTCAAGATAATTCACTATATCTAGTAGAGTAATTAGTTGGCTATTAACACTTACGGTAACAAACGCTGATTTGGCGACATCTTTGGCACCCTGACTGGTTATATCTGATTTGCTGATAATCTCATGCAGCTGAACAGCTTCGTCCATGCGGCGCTTTAAAAAATTCCAGGTGTTCTGTTGCTCCAGCGACTTGTCTTGGATAAGATACAGTTCTGTGGCCTTATAGACGCCTGCTACTCCTAAACGCCTCATATACCAGTTGAACTAGAAACAGAAATAATCCAAGTGTATTAACAACCTCAATGTTTCAGCAAAACCTGCAGATGCACGAAAATTGTGTAAATAAATTTTTATTTTTGGACGAAATTTTTCCAACCGACGATTTTTTGGAAAAATGAAAATTTTCTCAAAATGTCTTAAATTTTACATCATTTTGAGCTCACGGACGCGAGGAATGCATCGAACTTATTGAAAAACATGCTAGAAGTTTCAGATCCGAAATAATGGACATTTTCGGCACATTTTAAGCGTTTTCGAGCGTTCACGATCTTTAGCCGACGATTTCTTCCGTATTACTGACCCAAACACTTTATAAATGCATATTTGTGAGCTTCTTACGTCGAAAGCAATCGATTGAACGAAAAAAACAAGCATGTGAAATTTTGATGTTTTGTCGAAATTTTTCCAAGGGTGGAGGTCGATTTTTTGAAAAAATTTTAATTTTTTCAAAATGTCTTAAATTTCGATTCATTTTCAACTGACGGACGCGAGGAATGCACAGAACTCATTGAAAAACATGCTAGAAGTTTCAGATCCGAAATAATGGACATTTTCGGCACATTTTAAGCGTTTTCGAGCTTTCACGATCTTTAACCGACGATTTAGTCCGTATTATTGACCCAAACATTTTATAAATGCATATTTGTGAGCTTCTTACGTCGAAAGCAATCGATTGAACGAAAAAAACAAGCATGTGAAATTTTGATTTTTTGTCGAAATTTTTCTAAGGGTGGAGGTCAATTTTTAAAAAAAATGAAAATTTTCTCAAAATGTCTTAAATTTTACATCATTTTGAGCTCACGGACGCGATGAATGCATCGAACTCATTGAAAAACATGCTAGAAGTTTCAGATCCGAAATAAGGGATATTTTCGGCACATTTTAAGCGTTTGTTGAGCGTTCACGATCTTTAACCGACGATTTCCTCCTTATTACTGACCCAAACACTTTATAAATGCACATTTGTGACCTTCTTACGTCGAAAGGAATCGATTGAGCTCAAAAAACACGCATGTAAAATTTTGATTTTTGGCCGAAATTTTTTCAAGGGTGGAGGTCGATTTTTTGAAAAAATKAMAATTTTCTCAAAATGTYTTAAATTTTACTTCATTTTCAGCACATTTTAAGCGTTTTTGAGCTTTCACGATCTTTAACCGACGATTTCTTCCCTATTATTGACCCAAACACTTTATAAATACACATTTGTGACCTTCTTACGTCGAAAGGAATCGATTGAGCTCAAAAAACACGCATGTGAAATTTTGATTTTTTGCCAAAATTTTTCCAAGGGTTGAGGTCGATTTTTCGAAAAAATGAAAATTTTCTTAAAATGTCTTAAATTTCACATCATGTTCAGCTGACGGACGCGAGCAATGCATTGAACTCATTAAAAAACATGGTAAGAGTTTTAGATGCGAAATAATAGACATTTTCGGCACATTTTAAGCGTTTTTGAGCCTTCACAATCTTTAACCGACGATTTCTTCCTTATTATTGACCCAAACACTTTATAAGTGCACATTTGTGACCTTCTTACGTCGAAAGGAATCGATTGAGCTCAAAAACACGCATGTAAAATTTTGATTTTTAGTCCAAATTTTTCCAAGGGGGGGGGTCGATTTTTTGGAAAAATTAAAATTTTCTCAAAATGTGACACACAAGTGCCGTAAGACACAGAATTACCCATGTTACATGTATTTGCAAAAGAACGAACTATACTTACATCCACTGATCGATCTCCTGCATAATAGCAAATATCATCAACCATTGTAAGAAGCGCAGCCAATGCAGTGGGAACATTTGGAGGTAGAGACATGATGGCAATGGCTTGGGGCCATTTATGCACATAAGGAACCAACATTTTCAGTCTCTCCTGTATGGCCAATTCAACAAATTGACCGGGACTTATGGGTTTATCGGTGAAATCCTTTTGAAACTACAACCCGAATAGAATAAGAAACGAATGTTTCTGCTAAACATTACCTGTTTCAAAATCTCCACCAATTTCATGTTGGAGCTCGTGTTAAAATAGTGCACCAAATCACCGGCTCCTCGTGTGAACATTCCATGGCTAATTCCTGGATATCCAACCTTTTCTGCCCCTTTGCTGAGGCATTCCTTTGACCAACCCTGGTCCAATACGTACGGCAAGGAGGCCGCTAGAATCTTATTTCTGATATCATCTTCATAATTTTCGCTATTGTTCTCTGTGGGCGATTGCGAGCAGAATTTGCTATGTGATATCCATATCGCACAGGTATCTAACAAGGGCCAAAATTTCATCAATTAGGCAGTGAAGATCAATAAATTTCAATTGCGCTCGTTTAGATACAATCAAAATATCGGGCATATTTGGAAACTGTTTGGTTTGCCATATAAAGTGTTTATTTATTATGCGGCCAATTAAGTTAAGTTCCACGGTAAAAGCAGCTCTATATTTTCCGCAAAGAAGCCAAGTTTTGGAGTGCTGGATAATATTTGTCGAATCTCAGATGTAAAGAAATCTTCTAAATTGATCAAGGCATTGAAAAAAATGGCTCAACGGAAATTCCGGGATGGAAAAGGTGGCACAAACCCTGAAAAAATAATGCGCAATTCTAAAGGTTAGGCGAATCAAACAACACACTTAAGAAATACCATGTATATTAAACAGCAACTTTCTACAGCACTTCCGGGCTCTAGTGAGCAAAGCAATTCGGTGCGAAGGACATAAACAAACTATTTTTCTTCAAGCAATTCCACAACTCTAGATAACACACTCTCAATTACATCTAAGCCTGCTAAGGAACTCTTGAGCGATGCCAATCGCTCTTCTTCAGAAGACGGCTCCACTTTTTCACCGGCCACCATTAGATTCAGCTCGCCTTTTGGCATGGTTTGATCGTCTATAGGAGTTCTGATGTCTTGTTCAAGGCGATTTCTTGACAACGTGATGCTTTTCTTTAACGGTTTCAGGTAGCTGTCTTCCAGTAGGGCCAACCAGTTTGCAACCTGAGTGACATTATTCTGGTCTTTGAGCAACAGATACCGAATTAAGTTGAGTGCGGATATAATTTGTTCGGAATCTTCCGACAGATTGGAGTCTTCGTCTCCTTTCAGACGACAACAAGCGCTTAAAAAGCGTTTTAAATGGACTCCTTTCAAGTATTCACTAATATCATCGCCCCATTCTCGATGGATCAGATCCTTGTAGAGCGTGATTAGATACCCCTTGAGGCCACTGTGACTTTGTACGGCCAGCGAGTGCTTCAATATCAAGTACACTCCTGTGGTGTCGAATTGTAATATAAAAGTGGTGAGGCACGTTAGGGCCATCTGCCTGATTTCTCTTGTATTGTTATAGACAATTGTGGTGGCCAGAAGCGAAATGAACTGTCCAGTTGATTCTAGTTCCAGGAGCAGATGAGACCATTTTTCCTCTTTAAGAGGAATAAGCAGGCGACTGGCCAACTTGATGGCCTTTTCAACTAACCCATCATGCTCGCTCTCTAGTAATGCGCACATCAAAGCGACGGATAATTCGAATACGAACTTGGGGCTGTATACCTTGGGAACTGCCTGCAGGCAAACGCCCTCGCAGTAAACCCAGTAAAATAAATGGGCAATCGCCAACTCATCTGGATGGAATCTCATATAAGGCGGATGTTGCAGGAACCCCAAGGGATCATCCATAGTTCTGAATATGTTGGCAACCGTTTTTTGCATAACCTTTCCGAATTCAATATCCAGGCTTTTGCTCGAGGCATCTTGTGTGAAGCAGAGTGGATTTCCTAACAGCTGAATCAAATGCGGTATCATCCCCTTAAGCAGCTCCGGGTTTTTTGTTCCATCAATTGTGGTCTCGTAAAATTTTACAATGGCTTTGTATAAATCGATGATCTTCTTCGGGTCTTGATTTGGAACATCGACTTCCTCCAAATACCTTCTAATGATCGAAAAGGAACGGCTTCGCCAGCTCTCGAACGACTGGTGGTGGTGTTTACGCATTGTCGGCCCCAATGCTTGCAGTGTAATTATAAACGTTTCGTCGCGGTCAGCCGATTGCAATAAGTTGGTTAGCTGATAGCCCGTTATTTCACTATTGCTCTTCTCAGCGAGAAAATCGAGCAAATTTTTGCAGGCATCATACACTTCTCGATTATTCGCATAATTGTCTTTCGTCAGGATCTCGGCTATAAAAGAGATCATGTACAGTGAACACTGATCGACGATTGCAACGTTTTTTTCAACTCTGAGCAGTCGGAGGACACGATCAAGGTCCACCCTCCGGATATGTTCGAAGTTGACGCAAATTTTCTTAACTGCTTCTACACTATTATACGGTTCCGGATACATTTTACTATACGTCCCATTCGCGTCTTAGAGTTGCAAACAAGTTCCACTACGTGATGTAATGAAAAAACTGACAATTGCTGCCCGTCTACATGTCGCAGATGGAATCAAAACACTTACAACGTACAGGTATCCTCAAGGCAGGCACCACAGCCACAAAGAACATTCTTAGCACCACCTTTTTCTTAAATACCAACAAAACATTGATTTTTTAAGGTTTACGGTTAGAAATCTGTCACTGTCATCTCTTCAAGCGGGTCAGAATCCACTTTATTGGCTGTAAAACAATCTGGCATCCCCGGTATTTGCCCAGGATAAGGTTAAGGCCGTCACTGCGCAGGTCACAGAGAACCTCTGTCACTGTCACCCTCAGCGTGGTTTGTTTATATGTACAATACTCGTCTTTATCTATGGTACAATGTTTGAGCCATAGAGAAAATATAATATTTTCGTTGTGTTAATCACATCTTTGGTTTGAGCTTGTGTAAAGAGGTAATTTTAGAATATTCTATATGTGCTTTGTGCGGTCGAGTGTAAAGGGCTAAACTATGGTGATGGAAAAGACAACCAGTAAGACCAGCTCCCTGCAAGCATTGCTTTTGAGGGCATGGAGGGAGCGCTGGACCGATCTGCAATGGGGTATCAACATCAAGACGGTGTTGCCGCGAGGCGTCAGTGGGGACGTCTACAATTTGGCCGATTGTATTCTGCAGCAGGCGGTTGTAGGCGATGGGGCCAACCAGTTAGTGCTCAGCTACTTGAGACACTCTCTCAGCGCTCAGCTGGTGTCGCACGCCGCTGTGCTTCAGCGGCTCAGCAAATACAGTCAGTTTGGAAAAGTGCACTGTATCACCAGTTTGCTTGAGTTCTTGGAAGGTAGGCAAATAATCAAATTAGGTTTTAGTCATCATAGCAGTATACCCAAGGAATATAGTTGTGCCACCAGGCACATGTGGTCGGAATGCCGCTTTAAAATTATAAATCACCAGTTCTGGATCCAAATACTTGAAGCAGTAAAGGGGCCATCTGGTTTATCGGGCCCTCGCATTTAAAGTTATCATAGAGAATTTTGCTCTTTAGAGCGTTCAACCAGTGTCGTGCCCGAAGGGTTGAGCACAATTTCTACAGCAAACTGTATCCAATGCTTTTATTGTGGCGAAGCCTACGGGCGCCACACTGGTAGAGGAACAATAAAAGCTGCAGCAATAATGGCTTGTTTGTAGGCATGCTTTCTGGAGTGACATGTTTTGGAAAACCCGAAGAAACAGTGCTGGCTACAGCCGTTCTCTCCATCGCTCTTTGGCTGCTGAATATCTTGCATAACTGCAGCGAAGCTGCAGGTCTGATCCAGAAAGCCAGTGAGCTTCTAAAAATCCTGCTGACTGATGACTTTTACATATCCATGATCTGTTTGGCCAAATACAACGATCCAGGTAGAGTCCAGGCCCATTACGCGCAAACAGCATGTTTTCAAGCTCAGAACTGTTTGTTTTTTTCAGAACTATTCCAGGAAACTAGCGCCAAATGCACAGAGGTTTTATCCAGACTTCCGGAAGCTGACGAAGTCACAAAATACGTAGCCAAGCTCGAACACATCGATATTCACATGCTGTGCCTTCCGGTGAACAGTGAAAAATGGCCCGGCTCTTTAGTGCAGTGCTGGCTGGAGGTGAACCTTATGAAGAAGCCCGATATGGATGCTTCTTCGCTGGCGGATCAGCTGCAAATATTCCAAAGGCTCAAAGGTAGCTATATTTAATGAGTTTTTATTATTATTGATGGTTATTGGTCCTAATGATAGGTTTTAGCGATTCGAGACTGTTCGCCGAATTGCTGCGAGGCAGCTTGCTCTGTTTCTACAACACCAACGAGTCGCCCCATGATAGCAGATGGGAGGCAATCACGTTCTTGAAAGTGCCCCATATTATTCAGGAATTGGCCGCGAAGTCTGACAGTGCCAGTGTGGTTAATGCTATCGAGCTGATTTTGCAGGTAATTTAAATATTAAACGGTAAAAAGTAAGTAAGTAGGACGTGGTGGGAATCTTGCGGTTTGTGATCTTCAGAACGTGTTTCCGTATTCCGGAGGAAAAATAGTCAAATGGTGGCGGGCGAAGAAGCAGATCTCTAGAAACTCAGTAGTTTTTCTGATTTTTTAATAAAAAAAGTGTATTCCCTAGTTAAAAAATGAACCCTTTCAGCATGGACCTTTGTTGGACTTACTAGATGCCAAGTGTTCCTACTCGAGCTTGAAATATTTGCTTGAAGAGCTGGTTAAGTTGAGGCTGATCAGCGAACCGCAAGCTGGCCATTTGCTGGAAATCCGAAAGCAGTCAACTAGCCTGAAATTGGACAATGGCGATCGAAGTAAACCGCGGGTGGTTGTGTGTGCCGAAACAACATTTTCAGGAATTATTAACTCCCTGTCAACGACCGAATATCATAAAGTGCAGGTACGAAAATTGTGTTAGTTGATGGATCAGATCGTTGTTTTCTTAACGATTTCACTGTGGTTTGCAGGAAGGAATGCTGGGCATGTTCCAGCAAATGCTAATCGCGAAAAATTTTCAACTCATCCTGGCAGCCGCTTGCAGTTTGGGCCAGTTGAAGACGCTGGTCAAACGCCTCATTCGATTCAATGAGTGTTTCAACTTCCTGAGCCAGGACAAGGCCAGAATCGAACAGTTTGACATCAGCTTTGTGATGCTCGTATCAATCGTACAGAACTTCGGTAAGCGCTAATTCCCTGCTTAGCCATAAAACCGCTGTTTTTGCTCAATTGCCGCAGGTGTGGAAGTTTTGGACACCGACGATGAATCCCTGATATACGAATGGGTGAACGAGTGTTTAGTGGACCGCCACATGCAGAAATCCCCAACTCAGCTGCTCCAGATCAGCGACCCCGTTATAGTGGAGGCGCTGATTAAGCAGTTCAATTCCTGCGAGGGCGATTTCAAGCCCAATCTCAAGCACAAGAACGTGCTGTTTAATATGCCTGGAGTCATGCACGAAGTGTTGGTGGCTTGGGAGCAAGGTACCAATCCGGCCAAAAAGAGAGTGTAAACACTGATGGTTCTTGGTGACTTCCAGGCGCTTTACACCCTTCGGATGTAAAACGAATCCTGGACGCAGTGAGGGGAAAGATGTGTTGTCTGGCTATAGCTGGGGCCACCTATTTGTGTTCCTACATGCGAACCGTGCCCCAGGAGAACCTACTGAAGCCCAAAAACATGGTTCAGCAGCTGCTTCAAGTGCCGCCAATCATTCCCAATCCCACAGCCGAAGAAGCCAGTCTACGGTAGTTGTGGTAGTTGTATTTTTGGCGCCGGGGACTAACTGGGGCGTTTCTAGAGATCGTTGGGAGCTGACCAGTGAAATCATCCGCAAAATTGAACGCGACATTCAATTGCCTACCACTAAAAGTAGTAGCAACTTGATGTCACGTTCACCAGCTACGGAGTGTTTGCACAGCACTTGGAACAGCGCAATTACGAACGGATGGCTCGACTATGATTCCGCAAGGATTTTACACTGCCTGTTGGATACAGCCGGGCCTAAGTGGCTAGTCAATGCTGTTATTCATGAATTGTTGAAACTGAGGTCAGTGGAATGGTGTATGTGCGATACGCGGTCACTACCCCGATTCAATAGTTTGAATCACAGTTGAAAGTAAAACTGTTGCTTGCAGGTTTCGAGAGCAGTTGCAAAGAGCAGTCGATCTGGCTTTAGCAATCTTCCACGTGGACATTGTGGCATGCACCACAGAGCTGCTGTCCCACATTTTACCCCAACTTTTGTTTGTGGATGTGCAATCCTTCAGGCTGGTCGAGCCGCAGCTCTCGTTCCTAGCTTGCCTTACCAGTTACTGTATTTACACGGCTTGGGACTCGGTGGCTAACGTGAGTACTAGACAATGAAATCTCGCCTTGCTTATGTCTAGTTTTGGTTGCAGGAGAGAGACGATGAGCCTCCAATGAAAATGCTCCGATTTGAGAACGTCGAGGAACCGGTCACGCCTGCCAAAAAGCTGATTCGTTCGCTGCTGCAACTGTTTTCCACCTTTGAAAAGATGGAGGGCGGAATAACGCCGCAGACGTACTTCGTTTACAATCTGATCAAGTCGCTGGTGGAAGTGAAGATTCAATCGGCAAATGCCATTCTGGCATATATTTCGCCTTCGTTGATTTCCGGCCTGTTGAAGACTCTGCCGGACCTGTTCAGTTTTCCCTTGTTGCTGCATTTGCACGATGTTTGCACCACTACCGGACGCGTGAATATGGCTAAGGATCTGTGCGTGTTGAGGAATTATCAATTAAAGAAATGTCTGAGAAGTTACTAATGGTATGAATAAATTGGAGGCCTTAGCATGAGACACCGTGCATGCCGCATAGGTAAGTGAAAATATCCTGGACTTTCAAATAATTTAGTACTCAACAACAAACTAGATTCTATTCACTGTAGAGCCAACAGTCCTTTTCATACCCCTCATGTACATGTTTGAGCAGGGCGATTTGGCGCCCATCGCAATATCTGTACTTGTCTTGCACTTTCTGCTTAATATCCAGCAGGTTTTCCTGAGTGATATCGCGCTCCAGATATTCGCTCAAAAGTTCGGTGGCTCTTTCCAGATCCTTTTGATTCTCCTCGAAAATCACAGACTGATTTGTTTTCTTCAAGTAATACGCGAAAACGTACGTGTACATCAATGTTTGCCGGCATTGGCACAGAATATCCACGGCCTTTTTCAAAAACTGCACCTCAATCCAGCTCATGTTATGCTGTTGCATTTCTTCCATTTTGTCCTTCACTGCTGCGTAAAGTTTGTGCTCGAATTTCAGCGATTGCATGTGATTCATGTATCGGTTGCAGTAGAACAAGTAGCGTTGCAGCGCAGCTCTGGACAGTTCTTGAGCGTCCCGAGCTGCCTTCGCCTCGTCCTCATCGTATCGGTTGCAATTGTACCTGGAAAACACGTTTATTGTCTGCAATGTGGATTCGTAATGGAAAAGCGAATCTCACCAAGAACTCCCATGCGGTTCCCATGGGCCCAAGCACACCCAGCAAAAGTCCGCTTTGCAATTTTGGTTTTTGCAAACCATGTGGTTGCAACCGCCGTCCTTTTCGATTGTGGCATTACATTTGGGGCATTCTTTCGTGTTGGCCGCCAACCAGTTGGACGTTTCGGAATCGTCGTCGCACTTTTTTTGCCATTTCTTCAGCAACGTGCACTTGACGGGATCGTGCCAATTTTCGCCGCAATTGAAGCAAAATCGATGCCCGCATTCACATGTTACTGGCTTTGTTTCCACATAAGTTACCTAGATTCGAATAGGACAAACGTGGTGATTTTTTGATGTGTTCTGAACTTGAAAATGGCCCGTTTTCAAGTGCGGAATAATACATTTAGCTACCTTAATGGCGTAGCTGCAGTCCGGACTGGGACACCACCTTAATAGTCTGTTGCATTTCACAAAACTGTTGGTGATTAAATGTTGGAATTTGAGCTTGACTCGCGGGTCCTTTAACAGTTCCATTACCGTTTCATCGTCCACTAAAATAGCACAATTATGGGCAGGACAAGCAATAGTTTGGCCAACGCCCTCTTCCATTATCTTTGTAGTCAAGTACTCGTTCCAACATTGGGTGCAAAATCGATGTCCGCACTCCAAGCCAGTCATATGAATGGGGGGATGAACAATGAAGCAGATCTCGCACTCTTCCGTTCCCAGCACTTTGTTGAACAGCCTCGGCTTAACAGCCGTGACTTTTTTGAACGGATTCACCACCCGCGCTTCCTTGAACAATTCCTCCTGGTTACCATCGAAGAACTTTTCCATCAGCTTCTCTTTGTCCCAGTTGAAGAAATTCAGCAGGATTCTCGTGGTTGTCGAGGGAATTTGAACGACGATATTCACATCCTTAATGCAATCGACCATGTGTTGGACGATTTCATCCGTCGAAAGCACCTCGTATTGATACTCGTCGTCGTAGCTTGGAAATTCTCGGCAGGAATTATCGGCGTCTATCGCAAAATCCACATCGTCTCCACTGGTTTCGTTACCCGAATCATCGTAGATTATTTCATCTTCTTCGTTCATTGTTCTAGTGTGTTTGTCATTAATTTTGGGATGAGTGGCTTCTAAAAATTAGCTGTTCCAAACTGATCGATTTCGACGTTTATCTGCCAAATATACACAGGTAGCCAATTTTGGGTGAAACTAGAAACATTTCTAAATTCACGTTTTACGCAAAAAGTGCATATTTTGATAAAAAATTTAAAAAATTCAATGAAAGGTAAAAATAAGCGATTACTTTTATTCCGCCAAAAATCCTCATCAAATTCTCAAAATATAGAAAACCTTACGCTACAGCGAAAAAACTTATATGGGCTTGTAGTCCAGTTTGCTCTCCAGCTTCTTGTTATCCGCCACTTTCCTCACAGCTTTCATAAAATCTTCCTGAATGACATACTCGCGTTCGGCCCTGATTGCAAACAGGCCCGCTTCGGTGCAAACGTTCCTAAAAATCAAGTAAAACCCGCACTTTAATGTGCACTGTTCAAAGGGGCTCAGGGTTTATACCTCAAATCGGCACCGTTAAAATTATCGGACAGCTTAACAATGGCTTCATAGTCGATTTCACCGTGTTTTGCAATGGGGCCAGCGTGGATTTTGAGGATTTCAAGACGCGCCTGTTCGTTGGGCAGGGGAATTTCGATTTTACGATCCAAACGTCCCGGTCGCAACAAAGCCGGATCCAGAGTATCCGGTCTGTTAGTTGCCATGATCATTTTTACCTGAAAAATATTGAAACTGCACTCTGACTGGAAACTATAAACGGCGTCTACTCACTTGTCCCAAGGAGTCAAAGCCATCCATTTGATTCAGCAGCTCCATTAGAGTTCTTTGAATCTCCCGATCGGCTGAAGTGCCCTCTGAAAACCTGCGGCCACCTAAAAAGGTCGCAAATCTCTACCACAACCCTTGCTGAAACCTCCAGCCCCTACCTATAGCGTCGATTTCATCCATAAAAATTATACAAGGCTGATGGTCCTTTGCATAGTTGAACATCTCCCGAATCAGCCTGGCTGATTCTCCAATATACTTATCAACAATCGCACTGGAGACCACTTTTAAAAAGTTGGCATCGAGCTGCGAAGCCACCGCCCTAGCCAGTAGGGTTTTGCCAGTGCCGGGGGGCCCATACAGAAGACATCCCTTGGGTGGGGTGATCCCAACCCGCATGAACAGCTCAGGATTGAGCAGGGGCAATTCAATGACTTCCCTCAGCTCCCGGATTTGTTCAGACAGCCCTCCAATGGCCGAGTAAGTCACATCCCCTGGGTCTTCATGACTCATGTTGTAAACCAACGGGTCCACTTCCCTGGGCAGATATCGCATGATGGTTAAAGTGGTCATGTCCAAAGCGACTCGAGTGCCAGCCTTCAGTTTCGCTTTGTCCAGTTGTCTGCGGCAGCCCACCACGTATCGGGGCCCATTAGTGGCTTTAACAATGACTAAACAATCAGAAAAATATCAAAAACTGAGTGAATGTGGGTGTTTGGGCAACACGTACACTTTTCTTCCGTTAGCTGCTTTAGGACCTCGCCGACGATCTGGCCCATGCTCTGCAAGGCCTTCAAGTCGTTCTCAGACTTGTCGTATTGCTTGGTAAGGTCCTTTAATTGTTCCCGCACTAAAAACTTTGCTCTGTAAAAAGTTACTGGGAATGTTGGCGGTTTACATACTTTCTTTGAGGCGGGATTCCACTTCCTTGTGCTCCAGCAGTTTCTTTCGGTAGTCCTGAAGGACCTTTGCCCGGTCGGCTAAAGTCGCCATTCCGCTTTATTTTTGTAAGGAAAACACAGAAAGTGGCCTCAATTCAATTGATGAAGATTGTGTTTAAAAATGTACCCAACTTGCATTTCAGGGTGACTAGCAAAACAATTTGACGTTGTCATCTAACCCGTCACATCGTATGCAGTGTTGCTCGACTGGGAGGAGGATCTTGATTCAACTATTTACAAATAATTTTAAACTAGGATAATTAGCCTGGGTGTTTGCGAAATTATAATTATTAAGTGCATAACAATTATCAGTCAGCACCTGGCTCAGTGGGGCCTGTGGCCATCAGCTAATTTTAAATTTTATAAAACTTAGTGCCTTTCTAGACTGCAGTGCAGGGATGCCATTTGAAGCCGGTTTGCTCATTAAGTGCGAGACTCACATAACCTCAGTTGTCACTGTTTGTGTTTGTTCTTTCAACAGTTATTCAAAAAATTGTTATTATTATTAATTAGAAATAGCGTGAGTGTAACACAGTACTTGCGATGGCGACTTTGGGGACCGCAATCGAGCTGTTAACTTCTGCAATGAAATCGAACATAATCCCCAACCAAGAGTACCTTCTGCAAGGGTCTGTTTTGGATCAGTATGTCGAAGTGCTTCTTCATCGGTTAAGGGGCCTGTGCGACAACGTGGACAGTGGGCCTGAAACATTCAACGATCACGAACTGTGCTACTCTTTGCGGTCAAACACCGCCAATTCCCCAATGGTGTTGCCTTTGCGGGTTAGACGAGCCCTGGATGTAACAGATGCCCCATTCCAGTTGCGATACGTCGGCCAGCAAGAGATGGGAGACAAAAACCGGCCGACAGTGGTTCGTTCTTGCATCGATATGGCCTGCAGCTCTACCATTATTGAGTTTCTTACTGAACTGGGTAAGAGCGGGCATTTTGGGTAAGCATTTGTGACTCACCAACTGGCTTTCTCCAGGCTGCCGATTGGACTTTGAGTACATCGCTAGGGGCTACATGTTCAGGAAGGGTCGGATGAAAGTGACTGTGTCCAAGATTTTCAAAATGAACGGAATGGCGAGTAAGCCGGAGGGCGTCGAGGCGATATCGCAGAGTTATTTGGTGGAACTATCAGTGCAGGCGCCTTTAGGCCAGGATGCTATTGCCGAGGATATGCGGGTATTTGCCGAACAGTTGAAACCTTTAGTGCAGCTTGAAAAAATTGACTATAAGAGACTGGGGAATATGATGTAAGTATTAAAAAAGGATAATTTTCAAAACAAGTACAAACTTGCTATTTATTTACATCGGGTCCTCCTGAAACCCTCTACGACTTCAACGCAAGAAAAGTTTGCGTATTTTGCGTTGAGTGTTAATACCACAAAATAGCGATCATTTGAAGTGTTTTTTACACGTAAAATCAACGTTAATGCTGGTGAAAGCCTAAAAGCGAGTGAAAGTATCCGGTTTTTAACATGGATGGGACTTGCATCCAGACATTTGCTCAGAAAAACCTGCCTACGTTTAATGGACATCAATTGGGGCACTTTTCAACAGTTTTTCGTACACTGTCACCTCGACCGCCGATGACAGATCAGTTTAAATGTTTGAAATCGTGTTGCCGTCTCTGTCAAATACGCACGCAAGGAGCGAGAGGGCCAATCTATTTTTTGACGGTTGGGGGGTTGTCATCCCGTGTGAGTGTTCAAGTGTTCAAGTAGATTAATTTTATGAAAAATTAGTGTTTAAATGTGGTGTAATGTTAAAAGTGTGAGTGAATGAACAAGACTAAAGAGGTGCGCTCGAAGTTGATTTAATTTGGAATCATCCAGCCAAAGTAATCGGGGGGTTCATGGCGTTCTTAGTCAACTGATGGAAAGTAGTGAATTTCAATGAAAACTGGCCGAAAGTTGCATTTTCCCTAAAACACCACGAGAAAAGTTGTTGGGGCAGCGATTTTCTATAAGGTAAGCATATTGCTAATTGCGCATGTGACGGCCTGATGCTCTGGAAAGTTACCCAAGTCTCTCAAACCCAATTGGAAGCCATTTATTCATCCGTAAAGCTAGAAGTGTCTTTAATAGTCGCATCCGTAGTAGCGGAAGCGCTTTCTTCATTGTCAATTTCAATAATTGTATCCAATTCTTTACCGAACGACTGATACCTCCGAGATCGATTCACCTCAGGAATTCGCTCCTGTATGTCGAAGGGCTGTTGGTCGTCGTTCTCCCTCTGTAGTTCCTCATGGGACGCCAACATGTTCAAGTACAGCTCAAGAATCTCTGGATGGGAACTATCTTCGCTCGCTAAATGAGACTGATGACCTACCAATGAGTGCAAACGGATTTAACATCATCATGTTTAGTGCAAAATTCACTGCTTCTTCGGGACTTAAGTCCCATCATACCTTGGATGGTGCCAGCCAGAGGAATAACTGAACCGGACGCATGCGGTTTCAGGTCATTCGCAGCACTTTCCAACATTTCCTCTATTTTGTACTGGTAGTGCTCTATAGTAGGGGATGATGAGTAGAGCGAGTTTTCATTGAAGCTGGTTTTTTGATCTAGTGCAGTCAAACTATGAGACTCCACGCGGCCCTTTAAGGTGGGGCTTAAACTCACCGACTTTGGGCATTTTTTCCAGCCGCTGATAAATCGTTTCGTGTACAGTTTTCAACTTGTGCTGCTGCTGCTTTACTATGGATTCGCGAACCGTTTGCTTCTCCACCTCTGGGAGAACGAAGTGATGCACCAGATCGGCTATGAGTTCGTCCTGAAACCCCAGGAAATTAAACTTTCCTGTTTATCTGCTAAAGGGCGTCTTTCTACCTCAGTATCGACTCCTTCCATTGCGTATGATTTGTCGATCTGATTCACCTCTTTTTCCACCTTATTGGCCAAGGCCAGAACATATCTGAGGGCTTCGTCTTTGCCGGCAAAATCCATTCCTTCAGTTATGATGTCTTGCAGATAAACGTCCACCGATTCTTGAGTCACCTTTACTATTTGCCTGGAAGTTTACTTGAGATTGAGCAAGTCTCTAAGAGTACGCGGGTTGTTTTACTTGAATATTTCATCGTGCTCTTTCCTCCGCCTGATTTCCTTTTGCCGTCTCCCCGCTTCGGCAGCTTCGCGAATATTTCGCTCTCGTTCATTCACCCAGCACATGGCGTGCGCTTTTCGCTCCTCTAAGAGTCTTCGCAGCTCTTTGTTGAGGAAATCCAGTATGGAACCCACCACCTGTCCCTGCAGTTTACCTAAAGTGCCTTGCAATCGAGACACCTAAATGCAGTTAAGCTGTACGTTAGCTTCTATTTGAATTAGTCTAATTCACCATGACGCTTTGGATGGTCTCCTCTCTTTGCTGCATCCGAACCTTCAGTTTCTCTTTGGACCTCAGCTCCTTTTGCTTCTTCAACAGGCCCACTGAGTACTTCAGTTCCTGGATCAGTTCTTTGCAGTTTTCTCGTCCTTCGTAGATCTGCCAATACCATTAGTATTGTTCGTTTTTTTTACTAATTGTTTTGATTTATTTTCCTCACTGCGTGTAATTGTTATTTTATTATTTTCTTTCCTGGGCTCCAGTCACAGTGTGAAACAAAAATTTTTTTGTATATCGTTTTTTTCGGTGCAACGAAATAAACGATATACAAAAAAATTTTTGTTTCACACTGTGACTGGAGCCCAGGAAAGAAAATAATAAAATAACAATTACACGCAGTCAGGAAAATAAATCAAAACAATTGGTATTTTCATTGATTTGCTCAGAATTGGATTACCATCATTTGGGTGGCTCTGCCCTCGATGATGCTTTGCAAATACACAATAGCCTGGTATTGGAGCTCTTTGTCTGGAGGAATTCCCTCGACCTCCGGAGTGAAGACGTCCTGGGCCACCTTTTGGTTGCGTATTCTCAAGGAGCAGGCTTTCTTCTCTGAAGCCTTTCGAAGATCTAACGGGGAACATTTAGTGTGCAAAATGGGATTGAACAGAGTCCTCACTTTGTAGCTCTTCGTGCAAACTCTTCAGAACTGGCGCTGTCCACTTGGTTTCGCGGATGCACAGTTGAGGCCCTTGGTTTGGATCCTTCCGCTCCATTCCTTTGAGGTTGGTGGCTTGGTTCAGCCATCGCGGCAGCGTGCTAAACTGCTCCACTCCTAGTGGAAGCTGCACGCTGATTATCTTGGGGAAAGTGGCGAAACTTACCGATAAACTGCGCCTGGTATCGCTTCATTTTTTCGTCGATAATTTGGTGCCATCGCTTTGGGTGCTCCCCGTTCCTCATCAGCGGCCCGTATAGTTCAGAGGCTTTGGAAATGTGCTCTTCTATTATGTCCGGTTGATGGTATTTGCGCTTGACCCCTTTCTCTTCCAGCTCCAACTTTCTGAGCTCTGCAATGCGTTTTGGTTGATTGGGTTGGGTTGGTTGTTGCGTCTGTGCTCACCTCGAGCGGTTTGCTTCCGGATTTTGTCAAGTTTGGCGAGCTTTTCCTGCTCTTTGGCTTTGATGAAGCGTTCGAGTTTGTCCTGCGCCCTATCGTGCGAGCGCTCGTGAATTTCCTGCAGCATTTTCTCCAGCAGCTGGAGGCGCAGCTCCTGGATTTCTTGAATTTCCTGGGAAAGCGGTCAGTCGGGGGAAATTGCCTGGGACGAGGGAAAATACCTGCTCCCTAAAGGCCCACTCGTCCTGCTCCAAAGCCTCGACGTAGTCGCGGAATTTTTGCAGGGAATTCTCGTCGTTTATATCGGGTTTCACTGCGTTTTCCCAGGCGCGCTTCATTCGGGCCCTCTCGATGAGGCGCACTTCGTGCACCCCTGCCGGAAGGCCGCTGGCTGAAAGCCCAAGAGGTGCTCAGGGACGGTTTCAACTGGCAAAGTTTCCTCACCCCATTTGAGGAACTCCAGCTTCAAAATCTCGGGCTCTCCTTCCCCGATTATTTTGTAGGGCGGCTCCCAAGGAATCGTCTGAGCAGTTGAGTCTCGATAGACTGTCTGCACGTGGACGCTCTTCTTGCCAGCTTCTAAAATTAGGGAAGCGGTAGTTTGGAGCTCCAAAGCGTTCACTCACCAGAACCAGTTAGTTTGTCGCCTTCTTCATAGACCTTTTGGGCTCTCTCGATGGTGAATCTGGGCAGGTGGTCGCAAACACCCACAAAGTCCTTAGGAGGCAGGTTGATGATCGGGCAGAAGAACTTGGCTCTATCAGCTCCGGCTACGTCTATGGATTTGGACATGGCTGGATCGGTTCTGTTCGAACCTTGCAGCCTCTCTTCGTATGGGAGAATCGGCCTCTGTCGCCGCTGAACCAGTTGGATTCGGGGGTGGTTTGGTAAGTCCGAGAACATGTTGGGGAAAATTGGGCATAATTGCTGGAAAAAACCATTAGTTGCTGTTTAAAAGCCTTGGCAATTGGGGCATAAGGGGTGGCTAAAATGCACCTCCCTGCTAAAGTGATTGGGAAGGGAAAACTGCCGACTCATCGTGGGTAATCCATTAAGTTGCAGTGAGGTACTTACGAATTTTATCGAAGACATTTTGGCGATAATCGCCGCTTTGTAGTGGTCCACCGGCCCGGAGACAGTGAAAATTGGGTCTGAAAGTGCAGATGTTTCTAACCCAGTTGATTAGGTTCGGCTTAGGACCCAACCTACCATACATATAATCGTGGGGCCTGTAAGGCACACAGCGTTTCGAAATCATTTTGCTCAGATCAGTGGATGACTTCTGGACAATTCGTTGTCAGCAGCGACATGGATATTATGTCGATATCTGTCTGTCCTGGGCATTTTAGTTGGTAGAGGCAAGAGAAGGCGATAGTTCAAATAGTCTATATCGTATATTATGCCTACTGCACTTTAACATACTGGCCTAAGTGGTAGTGGAAAGAAGACTTCGGTAATACTAGTTAGAGTTAAAGAATAATTGAATCCGTTCCAATTCCGGTAACACTAAAAGCCTATTTCTAGGGACAATTCATATCAAATGCTACCTATCTATTGATGTCCACTCACTCCACAGCTAACAATCCCGGTGATTAGTGTATGCGCAATTTTGCCTCAATTTACAGTATGTACACGTTTAGGGAACCTTTACGTTGGTATGCTTTACAGTAATTGAAAAAATATATCTTCCAGACCGGGAGCTTCAGGTTAAAATATTAGGAGATATGTACAGGTAGTGGTTCAAGTCATAAGGACAAAATCAATCGGGTTTAAATAGCTTCAGTCTAACTTCCAAAAACGCCATCGCCCTTCCGCCCAAGATACTCGGGCCAAGCTTGTAGATGCTTGGGCAAAAATCCGACGCACTTTTTATTTGCGCCCTTCTTCAAGCTATTGTCGCATTCGCACTGGACCCGTACTCTATACACAGTCAATTGGCCCAATTTGACTTGTCCCAGTTGGTTGAAGTAGCCGAAAGTGCGCCGCATGTTGTCCTGTTGCGATTTGCATTCTTGCTCCTTGCTTTCTGTTTGAAACGCCCCCAATCAGTGAGAAACTTTTCGCCGGTTGGCAATTTACCTGTGGAGGTGTGGGCAGCTTTGTCGCTGACACAGTCCTGGAGGTCTCTAGATAGAAGATCTTCTAGCGGCGCTTCTAAGGGCTGCCAGTATTTGATGAAAACCACGTCGATGGAGCTCGACGGGCTTTTGGAGGCGTTGGCACTTAGCACGGCACCTGAAAGTTTGAGGCGTTTTCCCGGTTTGTTGGAACCCTTGAGGTTGAGGCTTACCAACTGATGTAACTCGGGGCGCACTTCTCCAGGCCACATCCCAGACATCCACCCCTCTTTTTCGTCTCAGAAATCTCTCCTTGTCTTCGCGCTCCCCCATCTCGTTCTCGCTCTCGATGTCCCACAAGGTGGTCGAGTGGTTCTGCAGCTGCAGGGCGTCGTTCTTCTGTTCGTCTATGGTTGTTTTGATTTCCAGATCCCCCATTTTCCCGACCAGATGCGAATTGACGTCGCGTTGTTCGAATTTCATTTTCTTCAGGCGGGTTTCTTCGTTTTTAAAGTAGGTGTCCTTTAGAATGTCCGTAGGCAAAGAGTCTTCGTCGTGCAACAGCCTGTCTCTGGCCAATCGCACGTTGCGGTAGCCGAAGATTTTTTCGGATAGGTTTTTCTTTTTTGACTGCGCGGATTTTGCTTCGGGGGTTTCCAGCTGGGGGTTTTTCTCCTTGCTGCGCGGATCCCGATTGTTCGCTGGCAATTTGGAGCCGATTTCATCGAAAAGCATCTGCTTTTGGTTGTAGGGGATATTGTCGTCTCCTAGGTTGTAATTGGAGAATTCCAAGTCGTCCTGATTGGGCATCCACATGTAGTCATCCGGTCTGGGCTCCTAAAGGAGAACTTTTCCCATAAAACTACTTGCTAAATAAAACCCCCGCACTTACTTCAGGTAGTGGTTGATCGGCGTTGGGGGCCACATTGAAGTCCTTTACTATTCCACTGGGTCGGTCTTTGTGTCTGAAGTTGGATTTGCCGTATTTTCTGATGGCGATTTTCCCGTGCTCGCCCCAATCGCTCTTCTGCTGCTCCGGGGGCGCTTTTTCCGGCTCACTCGGCTCATATCTGGGATGGCTGGCTTGGTATTCTCTTAGAGCCTTTAGAGGCGACTTGGAGTTCAGGTATTCCGTTCCCACTTTGAATGCTAAATTGGCAATAGTCGCAAGTTTAGGCGTTTGAATGCGTTTGCTTACCTGAATCGTACACCGTTACTCCGGGCGGTTGATGGTATTCATTCAGCCCGTTTAGTTTGAGGATAATTGAGGAGTTGAACTTTTTCCTGCACTCATCGAACACTGTTAAGTACTCTAAAAGGTTGAAGGTTCAATAATCCGGGCGTGGGCAAAGCAGCCCGTTTACCTGGAGTTTTTTGGTACGTGTTCAGATTTATTTGGATATCGGTGTTGAAGCATTCGCTGGTCCAGAACAGGAAAATGTCATGCCCTTCGCCCTCCATACTGAGGGTTAGGCCGTTCATTTGGGTTATCACAGCCCCACTGATGGGCGAGTAAATCGGTTGTCCGGTACGTCCGTCGATTACCGAGGTCTGGACAAGAATTCAATGTGAATTTGGGCGAGATCAAGGCACTGATTTTGGAAAGATTGCAGCTCTTTTTACAGCTTTAGAGTATCAAAAGGCTGAAGACTTTTGAACTGTAATGCATGGGGTTATAGTGGGAAAACCTACTTATGTTTTCGCTGCGAGTTGTTACTAGTTTTTGAACTGCATTTTTAATCCTTCGTGTTATCATCCGAATAAATGTCGATAAATGCCAACTTTTAACCATCTAAACCCCAATTTTTTCCTTGTGCCGCATACTTGCCCCCCGATTTTGGGCTTCAAAAGGCAACATTTTACGAGCTGGTTTAATATCTAGAGAAGAAAAGTGAATACCATCTTTTTTAGACAAATCGAACTCCTAAATGCGCCGATTTTCTCACGATTTTTTTTTGATTTTGGGTTTAGAACGGTTACGAATTTGTGAAAACTGTCTTGAGCGCCGATGTCTAAATAAAAAATTCGTAAAAATTCTAGCGAAGTCAATCACTTTTCTAATTTTTTTACCAATTGTGCCTTAATCGCACTGTTGAATAATTCTGAATGCTTTTATTTAGCTTCAGCCGTTCCACAGTTATAAATTTTTGAAGATAAACTGTCTTGATCGTCGATGTCTAATGAAAAATTCGTAAAAATTCTAGCAAAGTCGCAACCAGTTTTCTAATTTTTTTACCAATAGAGCCTTAATCGCACTATTGAATAATTCTGAGTGCTTTTATTTAGCTTCTGCCGTTCCACAGTTATGAATTTTTGAAGATAAACTATCTTGAGCGTCGATGTCTAAACGGAAAATTTGTAAAAATTCTGACAAAATCGCATCTAATTTCCTATTTTTGCACCAATAGAGCCTCAATCGCTCCGTTGAAGTGTTCGGATGATTTTTTGTCAGATTGTTGGGTTTTTAAGTTGCCAATTTGTGAAGAAAAACTGTCTTGATCGTCGCTGTCTAAATGGAAAATTCGTAAAATTTCTAGCAAAGTCGCAATCAGTTTTCTATTTTTTTGCCAATTGAGCCCTAATCGCACTATTGAATAGTTCAGAGTRCTTTTCTTCAGCTTTTGCCGTTCCACCGTTATGAATTTTTGAAGATAAACTGTATTGAGCGTCGATGTCTAAACGGAAAATTTGTAATAATTCTGACAAAATCGCACCTAATTTCCTATTTTTGCACCAATAGAGCCTCAATCGCTCCGTTGAAGTGTTCGGATGATTTTTTATCAGATTGTTGGGTTTTTAAGTTGCGAATTTATGAAGAAAAACTGTCTTGATCGTCGATGTCTAAATGGAAAATTCGTAAAAATTCTAGCAAAGTCGCAACTAGTTTTCTAGTTTTTTTACCAATTGAGCCTTAATCGCAATATTGAATAGTTCAGAGTAATTTTTTTCAACTTTTGCCGTTCCACAGTTATGAATTTTTGAAGATAAACTGTCTTGAGCGTCGATGTCTAAACGGAAAATTTGTAAAAATTCTGAAAAAATCGCACCTAATTTCCTATTTTTGCACCAATTGAGCCTCAATCGCTCGGTTGAAGTGTTCGGGTGATTTTTTTTCAGATTGTTGGGTTTTTAAGTTGCGAATTTGTGAAGAAAAACTGTCTTGATCGTCGATGTCTAAATGGAAAATTTGTAAAAATTCTAGCAAAGTCGCAACCAGTTTTATAATTTTTTTACCAATTGAGCCTTAATCGCACTATTGAATAGTTCAGAGTAATTTTTTTCAACTTTTGCCGTTCCACAGTTATGATTTTTTGAAGCTAAACTGTCTTGAGCGCCGATGTCTAAACGGAAAATTTGTAAAAATTCTGACAAAATCGCACCTAATTTCCTATTTTTGCACCAATAGAGCCTCAATTGCTCCATTGAAGTGTTTGGATGATTTTTCATCAGATTGTTGGGTTTTTAAGTTTGCAAATTTGTGAAGAAAAACTGTCTTGATCGTCGATGTCTAAATGGAAATTCGTAAAAATTCTAGCAAAGTCGCAATCAGTTTTCTATTTTTTTTGCCAATTGAGCCCTAATCGCACTATTGAATAGTTCAGAGTGCTTTTCTTCAGCTTTTGCCGTTCCACAGTTATGAATTTTTGAAGATAAACTGTCTTGAGCGTCGATGTCTAACTGGAAAATTTGTAAAAATTCTGACAAAATAGCACCTAATTACCCATTTTTGCACCAATAGAGCCTCAATCGCTCGGTTGAAGTGTTCGGATGATTTCTTTCCAGATTGTTGGGTTTTTAAGTTGCGAATTTGTGAAGAAAAACTGTCTTAATCGTCGATGTCTAAATGCAAAATTCGTAAAAATTCTAGCAAAGTCGCAACTAGTTTTCTAGTTTTTTTACCAATTAAGCCTTAATCGCACTATTGAATAGTTCAGAGTGATTTTTTTCAACTTTGCCGTTCCACAGTTATGAATTTTTGAAGATAAACTGTCTTGAGCGTCGATGTCGAAATGGAAAATTTGTAAAAATCTGAATAAATCGCACCGAAATTCCTATTGTTTCCACCAATAGAGCCTCAATCGCTCCGTTGGAGAGTTCGGACGATTTTTCTTCGAATTCTTTGGTTTGTGAGTGACGAAGTTGTGAAAAGTCGCAACCAATTTTCCAATTTTTGTACCAATAAAGCGTGAATCGGTCTATTGAACTGTCTTGAGTCGATGCCTAAATGAGAAAAAAAACCGTTATTTCGGTTTTTCGGAAATCACATTTTTTCGATTTTTCTGGAGATTCGCAATCTCATCAGTAGAGGCATTTTGAGACAACTGAATCACCTGAAAATTGAGGCAAATCTACGCGATTCTGACAAGAAAACTTTCTGGCATCACGGGATTTCAGATAGGTATAAATTGTTGCAGCAAGGGATAGAAAGAAACCCGCTCCAACCTCGCGCATTGTCTTTATCCGTCCTTGGGGAAAATTGTGTTAATCTGAGGCTCACCTCTGTGTAATTGTAATGGAAGATGCTGTCGTACTTCTGGTAGACAACCAAAAAGTCCGGCACTTCGTCCAAGTTGAAAAATGCGGGCGTTGGGCTCATATCGGTTACTCCATTCGTAAACGTGTAGCTCCAGATGGTGTTCCACGATTTGCCATCGATTGCCACTACGGTAGAATTGTACATTGAGGCGACGATATCGGGAACACCATCCCCTGTTATATCGGCGAGCGCTGGCTGGGTAAGAATACCCTTAAACTTGTCTTCGTACAGGGTGGTTGACTTGTTTTCCTACGGTGATTTTACTAAAGTTGGGGCGCAAATGTGACGCTGAAAGTTTACCAAACTCTCCAAATCGTTGATAGGAACCACGCTCAAGTTTCCTGGAGAGTTGGGGGTGCCAGTCCCGAACAGCACCATCAACGAGCTTTCATTTTGCTTCAACAGTTGAGGCATGAAGAACGTCTTGCTTCGATTGGGGGTTTGCACGCGCTTAATTTCCCGCCCGGACTTGCCTGATAGCAAGATAATGTGCCCGCTGGTTTTATCTGGAAGATTTTGGCTCGATTCAATAAATTATGCGGAATCACCCAGCACCTTCTAAGTAGGAGTGCGACGTGATCACATCGGAAATATTGTCTCCGTTGCGGTCGTCGATGAAATTGGCCACAAACACGTTCATTTTGCCCATATTCAACATCCAAACATCTTCGCCGGTCCTCGAGTCTATCACCGCAATGGTCTGAAATTTTAATCCAGCTTAGAAAACTAAATTTCCAGCTTGAAAAACTCACTTACCCCATCTACTCCCACAATTAAGCAATCGTTTGTCCCATCCAGATTCACATCGGCTGTACAGTGGACGCCAAAAATCGTATCGTTCAGCCACCGCTTCCATATGGTGTCTCCATTTCTTCCATTCAGAGCGATTATGCCTCCATTGCACGGTGGAGGCATTCCCATGAAAATCGGGCAAAAAACATCGTCGGGCATCACATGGTCATTTTCACCTAAAAAGTGGAATTTTGCCGGATAAATGAAAGCCTTTCCAAAGGATTCTCACCAGTTCCAAATCCGAAAACGACATCTTCAACGCCATCATTATCTACATCGATAGCCCGAACTGGTGAGTCGGTGGTGAGATTCGGCAAATTTATCGCCCAAATTTCGGTGATTTTCAAACTGGAACAGGGCAGCCGATCATCCCGGTTTCTCGGCTTGTTGGCTTTGGATACGATCCAGTCCTTGAGCCGATCCAGCGGCAATGGATAAATGGAAACTAGCACCACCACCAAGATAATCAGACCTGGATAATGGAGATTAGATACTAATAATTCTGGAAAACCTTTGATGTGATTACCGATTAAAACGCTTAAGGACAGGAAGACGTAGCAACAAGGTTTACACCAGGCACGGCAAGAAGGCCTGGGCTTCAACCGCGATCCCGATTCGTGCTTTCCAGACCGTCTTCGTGGCGCCATCAGCGGCCTTTTAACGTTTAGCTCTTCAGCCAACTAGAAAAATCAAATCAACCGGTTGAACTTTGCCGATTTGAATGGCTTGGAAGCTGTTGCAGCCGACCTTAAAGCCATTTTTCCCATCTCTAATGAACACTTCATCTTCCACGTCGCTCAGATCGTCCTCATCTAGCGATATGCTTTCTCTGATCTCCCCTTTGAGGTTCATTCCGGAATATGTTGCAGTTTTAACCACCATCTGAAATTTTCACTTGTTCACTGTTCATCTATCTTCATTGCTGGAGTGTTTGCAAACAATATGTTAGACACTCACATCCACTATACATTTAAATGCACGTTTCTGTTTTATATGAATATCTCACGTACAATTCAGCGCATTTACACTGGAAAGGCCACTATCTCCTTTCTAAAGGACGATTTTGCCAAAATTTGGACTTTTCTAGTCACTGTTGGCTTTGCTGTTGCTCTCGCATAGCGGAAAACAGATGTTTTCCCTATCGGGAAACGGTGCGTCGTTTTCCTCTGGAAGTGCACAAACTCGTTTTCATTGATTTTCCTATTCCGGATTTATTGCGTTTGTGGCTCGCTTCCGAATACGAATTATTATATGTGCAGTTGTAATCACTAATTTTAGCTGATAGAATCAGGAAAAATGTTGAATTTTTTCTGGTTTCAAGCAGGGTTTTTAGTTTAAATATTTTGATGCTTTTATCATAATTTTTTTCGTTGAGTTGCAAATTAATTTGAGACGCCGGGTATATGTAGGGGCTACTACTACTAGAAGGCCGCGCAAGAATGACAGCAAATGTCAGAAGTTTCCAGTTTGAAATCCCCGTTTTTAGCTTACGCGACTCTACCATTTGGTGGAATTTTTGCCAAGTTGGCGAGGGAAACTTTGTTTTCCACAAAACCACCAATTCGCTTCTAAAACTTAAAAACTGTGTCAATTTTAAGCGATATTAACGGAGCGCTTTGCGCATATTCCTTTCCATTTGCCACTAAACAATTGAATAATGCGTCAAAATTGCATGTGCTTCAACTCCTTTAGGATGTTTTTTCGGAAATTCTGGCTTGTTTATAAGGAAACTTTCGCTTAAAATTAGTTAAGTCTATTTGTTAGTTAAGTTAAAAAAAAAAGTTAAGTCTATTTGCTGTTAAAATTCACATTTTCCGAAATTAAACATGCCCCAACAAAAAAAAAATATTGGTAATTTTCACTAGAAAAACCATTTAAATCCAGGGTAAATAAAAGTAGCCTTCTCATTAATATTTTGTCTGCCAACATCGATATTGTCTTATCGTATTACTGTTTATTATAGTCTTATCAATGAGCAAATTTAATAATTAAGACCTTATACAAATAGACGGAGACAGATATGTTCGCTCTCTTTTTAGCGGCCCAGACACAGAGTTTTCTGGTGGTGTGCTAACCTGTGGCCGCTATTGAAACCTTCAAACTAAGTCAGTGTTGCCGGAAGAGACCCACATTATAAATTTTTCAGGCAATACATTAATTTAGCTTATTATTTACAGCTATTAAATGCTAAATGAATAACTGGTTAATAGCTTCAGGCCCACCAGCCATAGCTTGGAAAATCACCACAGCGCACACTTTTGGCAACGCTGGGACTTATGCTGTCCTAGTCGCTCTTGGCTAGTTGCATATCCCCATTTCATTTCACTGCTCGCAATTGTTTTATCCCTTCCAAAGCCTCTGTCAGTAATTTGATTCATTATCAGGTTATTGATAATCAGTCATTTGCTGTCAGTTGTAGTGTCAGGTAGCAACGAACAGCGGAGCCCTAAATGTTCGATAACTGTTTACGTTACTCCCGTTCCCGTTCCAGTGTTTGTCAATAGATTGTTCTTCTACAGAAATGCAGCCAGTTTTCTGGTGTTTAATCGAACAAAAGTGCGCGATTGCATCCCCGAAGTGAGGAACTTTGCGTGTAAAGAAGCCCCCCAATGAATAGAAAGCATGTGAATTGCGACATGGACTCCGGTTTGGGCAGCGATGAGGATCGGCGCGGTTCTCGGACGAAAGAGGAGAAACAACTCCACAATCAACAGCTTTTGAGTGGGTGTTTTATTGATGCGGCCTCACTGTCCGATGAAGCCGAAGTGGTGGATCAGAGGCGAAACGATGAGAGACGACAAGGGGCCCTGGTGTTCCAGTCCTCCATTCCTCAGTTTTCCATGCTTCAGATGTCGAGCTATGCAGGAGGCGATGAAGTGGCTTCGAGCAGGAGTTCGGCCTGTTTCCCGGACACCTCCACCCCTTACAACTCCATTGTGCAGCTGGACACTGCTGATGATATGGATCGCAGCAAGAACAAGTCACCTCTGGGGTTCTACGTGGATTTGAGCCAAGTGCCTGAAACACCTCACACGCCTCCATCCACGTCCTCCAAGAAGAACATATTTTCAATGGTGATCGACTTCGAAGGACCGAAAAAGGACAAGCCGATCAAACTGACTTCCTCCTATAACGCCTACAAGAAGCCCAGGCCCAAACCGAGTCAGTTGAGCAGATGCAACGGCAGTCTTTCTTCCAGTGTCAGTTCGGTAAACTCCACTTGCATGGCCAGCACAAGCCGACAAGGTGAGGAACATGAGGCAGGCACCAGTGGAGCAAGCAGCCTCACCGTTTTAAGTGCGTCGCTGGTGAGGAATCTTTCGGTGTCCACCAAGTCGTCCAGTGATGAGTCGAGTGATAAGAACATTGTGGAGAAGAGCGAAGATGAACCTCTAGGTGAATCTTTGCTGATGTCTCTTTGTGATGATGGTGATGAGGTTGTTGAAGAAGTTTCGGTTGCGGCTAGTGAAGCACCGAACGTTCAGGATGGTCCAAGTGGCAAGGAAGTGAGTGATGAAGTTCAATCAGCGGTCAACGTTCGAGAAGTCGAAGTCCAGCCTAATGAGCAGACAGTGGTGAGTCAACTGTTGTTTATTTGTTTGTTTTGGTATAGGTGTAATTAGTGTACTATTAGATAAGGTTTAGAGCATTAAAGTAAAGAAATTAAATTAAATTAAGCATTTTTTGCATGTGCACCGTTTTACTGAAATATTTGTTGCCTATGAGAAATCAAGTCAAGGATTTTGCATCTCCAAAAATTGTATTTGGAAAACTTTTTGGAAAAAAATTTGGCTGATTTTGCATGCTAAAAATGATTGTTGATCGGGAGCATCGTTTGGCCTTTTAGATTAAAAAAGGCAGGAGCATTGATCAAATGTTGGCTAGTCCGTCTGGCAATGTTTACCATCATACAACCGATATCAGTCCATTATCGGTTAATTACATTAATTATTTCATCAAGCCACGTCTTTGTTGTAACCGGGGTGGTAATGTTGATATAAATTAATCAGTCTCGAACACTTCAACATGAATGTTAATAGTGCATTCGCAAGCAAACAGCTCCACCAATAAAATATTAATGTTTCTTATCAGCGATTGAAAATAAAAGGTGCATCATTTCCTTTAGGTGGACATCGGGTGTGTGTAGAATATCGATGTTGAATGTTTTGCTTAGGATTTGAGACGAACGCACGTTATGTTCCAAGTGAAGTGTTCGGATGAGCATGTTTTAGTTATTCTCTCTTCTATTCAAGTTGGACATTAATCAAATCAGATGATGGTAAGTGAAAGAACCTGCCCTAGATGTGTGTGCGAGAACCAAACGCTTCTTAAGGCGTTGATGTAGGTGTGTGTGGAAAAGTGCAATTTCTCATCTCCTTGTTAGGTGGCAATTACTAAATGGTCTGGTTTTAAACTATTGATTCGATCTGGCCCGAAGCACCTGCATTTCTCTAAGTAATTTATCACTGTGTCGCCGTCGTCTCCAGGTTTATGTAATTAATAAAAAATAAACATTGCGTGCACGTTTAATCGGGGTTACCGAGAATTGAATGTTTTCACATATTTCTGGCATGCAAGTAGAACTTTGATAACGCTCAATTGTTCCAGTAACTGCGCGAATCACTCATAAAGTCAGCGAACATTTTTCCAATATGTAGAACAGCAACATTAATTATCTTGTTGGATGCAGGTGTTAATTGAATATGCACATTTCCCAATTTTACACACACTTTCTCATAGCAACTATTTGCTTTTGAAGACTTTCTGATGGCGTAAGATATTGTCACAGGCAGAACTGTGCGAGGTGATTGAAAAATGGCTTGAGTTAAATGAAATTAATGTGTGAAAACGAGTGTAAACAGAACGCTTTTGCGGCTTGGGGGCAAACCTTTGAGAATTTCAAATAATACCCTAATTATTTGCAAACTGTTAGGATTTTATCCGTGTTGCTTGATCGGTAACTACATTCCAGTCGCTTTTACCTCTGGCTTTCACTTAGTGCTGATTTAGAGCATCATTATTATGGGTTCGGAAAAAAACGTGCATGTTATTCATGCGAGCTGAACAATCGGCCTGCTCCGACTAAGTCCTTGATCAGTTCCCTGGCCAACTTCTACATCGACCAGTATTGTTCAAGGAACTTTCCTCATTCCGGCCCAATGTGATTTTTTGCTTCTTCTAATAAACGCGCTAATTATTAGCGTCGTGTTGTTACACCTTGAACGTGGCTACTTACAAGGTATTGAGCAATTTGTATTGCTTCCCAATCAGCAATTAATCATATTTTCAACGGATGATAGTTCAGCCAGATAAAAGCCCGGGATGGTTTGTTGTGCTGTGGCTTCGCCTACTCGGCGAGGCTTTTTTTCAGTCTGGTAACGATAATTAATTTTTTTCCTTCGAGCCGATCACGCAACCACTTTCGATGTCCAAAATCATTATTTCGCAGAAGTTTAGGTCATGGAACTATAGGCGTCTGACCCAGAATAATTTTCGCCAACAATCAATCGCTGTTCTATTGCGAATTCAATGTTTAAGAGTTGATTTGCGATTTTTGTTTAACAGGCGTGTCCGCAGTTTGTGAAACTGTCCGACATGGAGTGCCAAAAACCACGAGTCGACCTGAGTTTCACTCCCAAAATGAGTCGCTCCATACCGGAAAGCCATTGGGTGGAAAGTCCCTTTCTGATGTCGCGTTCGACCTGCTATCGCAGTGCTCCGCATCCCATCGATCCTGAGCCGCTCATTTCTGAGTGCGGTTCGGACTCTGAGAGTGCCATCACCAACACTAGGTAAGCACGGCATATGGAAAATCAGTGGGTTTTTTGGACAGAGCCTTAAAATGCGCATGTTTTTATATAAAAGATCATTTTAGAAATGTGTCTAGTTTTCGCGCAAAATGCTGAAATTCAAGATTCACGCGGGTTTTATAAACCGCGCTTAGTTTTTGATTGATATCAAGAGAACCGGTTGAGGTGCAGAGCGCTAGTTTTCCTTGAGGGATAAAGCATTAAAATGCACACGATTTCATATAAAATATCATTTTAGAAATGTTTCTAGTTTTCGCGCAAAATGCTGAAATTCAAGAATCACCCAGGTTTTGTAAACCGCGCTTAGTTTTTGATTGATATCAAGAGAACCGGTTGAGCTGCAGAGCGCTAGTTTTCCTTGAGGGATCAAGCATTAAAATGCATACGATTTTATATAAAATATAATTTTAGAAATGTTTGTAGTTTTTGCGCAAAATGCTGAAATTCCAGATTCACCCGGGTTTTGTAAACCGCGCTTAGTTTTTGATTGATATCAAGAGAACCGGTTGAGCTGCAGAGCGCTAGTTTTTCTTGAGGGATAAAGCATTAAAATGCACACGATTTCATATAAAATATAATTTTAGAAATGTTTGTAGTTTTCGCGCAAAATGCTGCAATTCCAGATTCACCCGGGTTTTGTAAACCGCGCTTAGTTTTTGATTGATATCAAGAGAACCGGTTGAGCTGCAGGGCGCTAGTTTTTCTTGAGGGATAAAGCATTAAAATGCACACGATTTCATATAAAATATCATTTTAGAAATGTTTCTAGTTTTCGCGCAAAATGCTCAAATTCAAGATTTACGCGGGTTTTGTAAACCGCGCTTAGTTTTTGATTGAGATCAAGAGAACCGGTTGAGCTGCAAAGCGCTAGTTTTCCTTGTGGGATCAAGCATTAAAATGCACACGTTTGCATATAAAGTATCATTTTATAAATGTTTCTACTTTTCGCGCAAAATGCTGAAATTCAAGATTCACGCGGGTTTTGTAAACCGCGCTTAGTTTTTGATTGAAATTAAGAGAACTGGCTGAGCTGCAGAGCGCTAGTTTTCCTTGAGGGATAAAGCATTAAAATGCACACGTTTTCATATAAATATAATGTTAGAAATGTTTCTAGTTTTTGCGCAAAATGCTGCAATTTAAGATTCACCCGGGTTTTGTAAACCTCGCTTAGTTTTTGGTTTATAACTAGAGAACCGGTTGAGCTGCAGAGCGCTAGTTTTTCTTGTGAGATAAAGCATTAAAATGCACACGATTTTATATAAAATATCATTTTAGAAATGTTTCTAGTTTTCGCGCAAAATGCAGAAATTCACGATTCACGCGGGTTTTGTAAACCGCGCTTAGTTTTTATTGATATCAAGAAAACCGGTTGAGCTGCAGAGCTCTAGCTTTCCTTGAGGGATCAAGCATTAAAATGCATACGATTTTATATAAAATATCATTTTAGAAATGTTTGTAGTTTTTGCGCAAAATGCTGCAATTTAAGATTCACCCGGGTTTTGTAAACCGCGCTTAGTTTTTGGTTTATAACTAGAGAACCGGTTGAGCTGCAGAGCGCTAGTTTTTCTTGTGAGATAAAGCATTAAAATGCACACGATTTTATATAAAATATAATTTTAGAAATGTTTCTAGTTTTCGCGCAAAATGCTGAAATTCAAGATTCAGGCGGGTTTTGTAAACCGCGCTTAGTTTTTGATTGAGATCAAAAGAACCGGTTGAGCTGCAGAGCGCTAGTTTTCCTTGTGGGATCAAGCATTAAAATGCACACGTTTGCAGATAAAGTATCATTTTATAAATGTTTCTACTTTTCGCGCAAAATGCTGAAATTCAAGATTCACGCGGGTTTTGTAAACCGCGCTTAGTTTTTGATTGAGATTAAGAGAACCGGTCGAGCTGCAGAGCTCTAGTTTTCCTTGAGGGATAAAGCATTAAAATGCACACGATCTCATATAAAATATCATTTTAGAAATGTTTCTAGTTTTCGCTCAAAATGCAGAAATTCACGATTCACGCGGGTTTTGTAAACCGCGCTTAGTTTTTGATTGATATCAAGAAAACCGGTTGAGCTGCAGAGCTCTAGTTTTCCTTGAAGGATAAAGCATTAAAATGCTCACGTTTTCATATAAAACATCATTTTAGAAATGTTTCTAGTTTTCGGGCAAAATGCCAAAATTGCTAAACTATATTCGGTGACGTATATAATTCGATAAACTATAACAAACCGGAATTATCAGCATTCTCAACTGTACCAACATACAAAAGCCTGTTTTCACATTAAATGGATTAAGTTTAACCAGCACCAGTTCTGCTTGGGCCTCAATATTCAAACGGATTATTAGGCACATGATAATGATGTGTTAATTGGAGCTAATCGTTTCCCATACACTTAGATTACGCGGCATTAAATTGGTTTTCGAGTGGAAAGTGACGGATAAGTCCTCAACCAGTTTGATTAGCACTTTGGTCACTGTGCGGTGAAAGTAGAGCTTCGCGATACGATTTATCCAGTGAGAAATTAGAGAAAAACCGGTTTTTCTATACCCATATGAAATGATGTTTTATGTAAATTCGATTTTATGGCGCGAACGCGTCATGCATAAAAAACATTTCCTTTTTGGATGCAGTAGCGGAGTCGACAGGGTCAATGGTTATGATTTAGTCCAACCCTACTAGCTTATCTTTTAATCTTTTTATTATCAAACAAACACTCGATTTGTTATAAAATTGTTTAATTCCAGTTAAGGCTCGTAGAGATACGAGTGGTACCCAAAAACAGTTTCAAATACGTCTCTGTTCCACGGTACTTAACTGAATATTTAAATGAGCTGATGCATCTTTTGTTCATTTTCATCCGGCTTTTGTGTTGTGGCATAATGGAAAAAAGCTGGGGAACCAAGGATATGATCGAGTGCCGCAGTCTGTTTGTTAAATTTCTTTGTTGTTTTAGGGTTTCGGAAATAGACCGATTCGTTCGTGTTAATGACAAATTAATTGGCAAGGTGATATAAATTCAAGGAGACTGAAAAATAGCAGTAATTTAGTGAGGGTTTTTTTGGAAAAGTTTAAAGTAATCACGCAAACCTCGCGTTTTAATTAGTTATTAACTTTGCGCTCGAAAACGTAAATTCCTTGCATTGCAACGTTAAGAGAACATAGAAATGTTTCTAGTTTTCGCGCAAAATGTTGAAATTCAAAATCCTCGCGTTTTAATTAGTTATTAACTTTGCGCTCGAGAACGTAAATTCCTTGCATTGCAACGTTAAGATAATATTGAAATTGGATTTGATTCGGTCAGGGCAGGGTGTAGATAACGTAGTGAAGTTGGAAAGGCACCTACTGATTTTTGGAACTTGTTGAACATTATTATGAGAGTTTATGTGTAAACTGTTTTTTTCTAGTATTTCCCAGCCAAAAAAGGCGGTCCGTCGACTAGGCACCGATTTGCTGCGAATGTTCCTGGAAGAAATCAATCCCGATGTCGTTGTGAAAGTGGACAGTCACAAGCTGAAGGCCCACAAGTGCATTTTGGCCTCACGCTGTCAATACTTTGCCGCTATGCTTAGCGGCAATTGGCTGGAAAAGTCCGGCAACGTCATTTCGCTGCCGGTATGTACTGGCCATTGGTCCAGAAGCTGCGATGCCTAAATCGTCCGACTATTCCAGGGCTTCTCCTACGAATCGGTGTATTTCTCGTTGTGCCATATCTATAGCGGAGCCGCCCATGTGCCAGATTCCATCAGTTTGGTCGAGCTGGCCTCTTTGGCCGATATGTTGGGCCTCGAGGGTCTGAAAGAAGTCGTCGAACACGCTCTGAAGCAGAGGCATTGCCACAATTTCCACCGGCCTTGTGCAGGTAAGCACTCGACTTGCTTTATCAGTTGTGAAGTGAGAGAACGTTGGTTTACGATCGTATGCTGGTTGTTGCAGGCTGTTGCACGGGTGTTTTGGAAGTGCTCCCTTTATCGGCCGCCTATGGCTTGGACGATCTGTACCAGAAATGCCTGCAATGGATAACGCAGCATTTCGTTCGGGTCTGGCCCAGCAGGGCATTCGCCAGTTTGCCTAGGGAGCTGCGGGAAAAGTGCTATCAGCAGCATGTGGTTCATATGTCGCCAGACAAGGTAGGCCTTTTCAATTGAACACCTTGTATCAGTGTGTCGCTATTGGTTGCTTTACATGCAAGGATAAATTTAAAAAAATCAAAATACGCAACTACAGTGGTGCTAACTTTCAGGTGTTGGAAACAATGTCGTCCTGCAATAAAGTGCTGGCAACTTTGCCGGCAATGCGATGGGCAGAGCCGATCAACCACTTGGTTGTGCAGCTATCAGATGCCTGCCATCTCTACCATAGGTAGGTGCAAGCATAGAGAAAGTAAAATTATTATATGTTATACCGCCACCTCTCTTATTTTACTTTCTCTATGTTACGCAGGTAGCGCTGCAACTGGCTGACCGGTGACTGACGGCACTAAAATTTCGACTTTTCGGCCAAGAAGTTCTGAGCATGTGCGAAACGTGCAGGACATAGTGAAAATAAAATAAGGGTCGGTTAAATCAGTTCTGTCCTTTTTCAACTTGCAGAACAACGCGGCTGGATATTATTCTTGAATTGCTAAGTTGAAATTTTAGTGCCGTCAGTCGCCGGTCAGCTAGTTGCAGCGCTACCTGCGTAACGTGGTAACAAGGACGCCCATATGATTGCCACCTCTCTTATTTTACTTACTCTATGGGTGCAAGCCACTCACAGATCACAGAGGTTATAGATTGGAAACTGCCATATACGCCTGCAGAATGCTATTTGTCGCTTATCTCAGCGGCTGCAATCAAAACTAAACTCTAATTTCCACTACTGGCAGAAGAAATCTTCTTTATCGATTGGGTTCACATCAAAATTAAGCGGGGTATTTGATTTCAGTTTATGACCTCTGTGATTTCCGTTCAAGTTTCAATAACATTTCAAGCATTTCATCATGCTTCTTAATTGTGATGTTTATGCTAGGGCTTCAGTTAACATCACAATTAAAGGGTAATATGAGATACTCGAAATATTATTGAAACTTCAACGGAAATCACAGAGTTCGTAAAGTGAATTCAAATCTCCTGCTAAAATTGTGTTCGTGTGAAAACTAGGACAAATCCGGAAAATAAAGCACATGAATTTATCTCTACAATAGGTATTTATTAAACTAAAAAACCTAGAGATGTAATTTATATTGAGATTACATGAGTTAGATCGTGTAGTGCTTCAACAAAACTTGAAAGAAGTTTTATTCACATTAAATAATAAATATGTTGAACAAATATGCAGAAGTGTTGCAAATATACTCTGTAATCTGTGAAGCCACGATTTGCAGCCATCCGACGAATAACGGTTGCGTTGAATTGCAGGCAACATTTTGCGGCTGTTTTGGGATCAGCGGCGTTCCACGCGCTGGACTCCGGCCTAGGATTCGGCGTTTGCGAAGTGGAAGATCAAATGCTCAACGCCGCTAAGAATCTGGGGGTGGAGCAGGCTTGCAGGAGTTACGCGCGATGCTGCAAAATGCTGGACGCCCACTGGAGCCGCCCGTTTGCCGACCTGCTGAACAAAATCAAAATTCAATTGGAGCAATGCTTGGTCAATCAGGCGGACAGGCTGATCCGGAGCAATGCGTGGCTGCGATTGGATACGGTGTTAAGGTAAAACGCGCCTGTTGAGGCGCAAAGCGACTGGACTAATGGGGATTGTTGCAGAACGCGCATCAAGGAGCTGACCCCTTCGATTGAGGCGCAGAGTCGGCTGCCTCGCGCCAATCCGCTGCGCAATAAGAAGCCGCCGATTTCGGGGAAAAATGCTTCCCAGAGCCCACTGGTTTCCTCTTCGGATTCGTCTAGAAATTCCAGTCCGGGCGTCAACCAGGCCAGGCTGCAAGGCGGCAGCCCGTCGTTGAGGAGGAGCTTATTGCTGGCCGCCAAAGCGCCACAGGTGATTCGATCCCTCAAAAAAATCGGAAGATTTACGCGGGTTTTGTAAACCGCGGTTAGTTTTTGATTGATATCAAGAGAACCGGTTGAGCTGCAGAGCGCTAGTTTTCCTTGTGGGATCAAGCATTAAAATGCACACGTTTTCATATAAAGTATCATTTTATAAATGTTTCTACTTTTCGCGCAAAATGCTGAAATTCAAGATTCACGCGGGTTTTGTAAACCGCGCTTAGTTTTTGATTGAGATCAAGAGAACCGGTTGAGCTGCAGAGCGCTAGTTTTCCTTGAGGGATAAAGCATTAAAATGCTCACGTTTTCATATAAAACATCATTTTAGAAATGTTTCTAGTTTTCGCGCAAAATGCTGAAATTCAAGATTCACACGGGTTTTGTAAAACGCGCTTAGTTTTTGATTGATATCAAGGGAACCGGTTGAGCTGCAGAGCTCTAGATTTCCTTGAGGGATAAAGCATTAAAATTTCATGTAAGATATAATTTTAGAAATGTTTCTAGTTTTCGCGCAAAATGCTGAAATTCTCGATTCACGCGGGTTTTGTAAACCGCGCTTAGTTTTTAATTGATATCAAGAGAACCGGTTGAGCTACAGAGCGCTAGTTTTACTTGTGGGATAAAGCATTAAAATGCACACGATTTTATATAAAATATCATTTTAGAAATGTTTCTAGTTTTCGCGCAAAATGCTGAAATTCAAGATTCACCCGGGTTTTGTAAACCGCGCTTAGTTTTTGATTGATATCAAGAGAACCTGTTGAGCTGCAGAGCGCTAGTTTTTCTTGAGGAATAAAGTATTAAAATGCACACGTTTTTATATAAAATATCATTTTAGAAATGTTTCTAGTTTTCGCGCAAAATGCTGAAATTCAAGATTCACGCGGGTTTTGTAAACCGCGCTTAGTTTTTGATTGATATCAAGAGAACCGGTTGAGCTGCAGAGCGCTAGTTTTCCTTGTGGGATCAAGCATTAAAATGCACACGTTTTCATATAAAGTATCATTTTATAAATGTTTCTAGTTTTCGCGAAAAATGCTGAAATTCACGATTCACGCGGGTTTTGTAAACCGCGCTTAGTTTTTGGTTCATAACTAGAGAACCGGTTGAGCTGCAGAGCTCTCAAAAAAATCGGAAGGGAATCAATAAGAATGCTTTTAACACAGTGATTATTTCAGGTTCCTCCTAGTCCATCGGCGAACCGTCGCAGCACCTTGACTCAGCCAACTGCAGCCAGCCAGGCCAGATCAGTGGGTTCTGCGCCTCGGCAGCTTAAAAACATGGTACCAGTGTCCAACAGGCCTCCGCCTAGGACTGCTGCCAATGCAAATATCAGGTAGAAAGTCCTTTAAAATTGCGACTTGGAGGCATTTTTCATTTTTTTTTTGCTTTAACACGATGGTGTTTTAATAGTAAACCCTCGTTATTTCCAGACCATCATCGAGTGGAACTAGACGGCCAATCGCGTCAATTAATAGCAACGAAAGGCCGAATTCGTCTCCCGGTTTAATGGGCAGTAGTGGGTCGAGCCAGAGAACCGTCCTTAATTCAAAGAATAGCTCGACCACAGTGTCTAGAAATTCTAGTAAGGGCAAAAGTGACGCTCCCAGCACTTTGCGAACGAGGCAAGTGTTTTTTCGTCTGATGAGAAACATGCTTAATCGCAATTTCTCGTTGCAGGAAAACTGATGTGCGAAGTAGTTCTCCCTTGAAACCTGATAGCAGAGCCAGTTCGCCGCGAAAGCTGGATAGTAGAGTAACTTCTCCATTAAAATCAAACATTCGCAGTCCATCGCCGAAGTTGAAAGCGGATCTGAAGCCGCAGCAATCAGCGAGAAAATTAAAGGCCGATGAAGGTACTTTTTGGTGTTAATCAGTCGAACTCGTATTTTAACTGGGGTTTTTATAGCGCCGAAACCGGTGCCGCCGGTACCTCAACCTTCTATGCAAAGATCGAGCACATTCCTTAAGGACGAGCCCACTATTTTAGGTAAGGTAATCTAATCGACCATCAAACATTCCTGAGTTTATCGTGTTAATTAGTCGACATTCTAAACCCCCCTAAGTTAAGTTTAAACGACACTATTGCTTCAACTGCAAATATTCAATATATGAAATCATCAACTTATCCTTAAGTTGCTCCCTAATTTAAAAGTGTTTGGAGCAATTTTTATTAAATGGAAATGGGGGAAGATGTTTCAGTTGTCCAGGCAATATTGTTATGCGTTATTGTTTAGTTGTTCTACGGGATAATTAATTAGTGTTGCGAAAACGCCCAGAAATATAAAAAGGGTGTTTTTGGCCATACTAATGATTCAGCCTAATATTTCCTAGTCAAACTTAGTCTATACTTTGTGATCTCATACGCGAAACACATTAATATATCGTAGTATTTATTTAGGTTCTTTTATGTGATGTTTTTGTTACGTTATTATTATAAGTCTTGTGATCTGAGTGAATAAAAAATTATTACATCAAAGCTAAAAGCGCGAAACTGAACGAAAGGAGCATCACTTGGCATCGTGTTTAAACAATTAAAATTTATAATAAAACCCAAATCAGTTACATTAAGCGAAATTACATTCCATTGTACTTCCACTATGAATATTCTATGGAATATTTGTATTGCAAATAGATTTAGATTTTAGTGCGTCTTCAAATTGAACGATGCTTGTTGTTGTTACTATGTATAAAGGCTTTAATGTGAAGAGAAATACTATTGGTAGCTAGTCTATGAACATTTACATGTAGCACACATTCCCCGATCTTTGGGGCTGATGGAGAATGAACAAATCAAAACATGAAATATTTATGTACATATTTTGAGGCAATTGGCCCAAGGTCCCGTATTTTTTTGCTGCTCTATAGATTGTTTGTCATTTTTATTTCAGATTTTTTCATTTTGCAATACAGTTTTATTGTTTATTGTACAGTGAAATACATATTTTTTAAATGAAACTTTGTCTGATTTTGGTGTTCTCCTTTTATTCCTGCTTTGTTCCTATTATAATTAATTATTGGCAAAATGCTTGAAAATGTTTTATTAATAAGTATGCTTATATAATGCTGCGAATGTGATGACGTCACGCCTAGAATAGCTGTCCTTTTCCAGGTCTCAGCTGATTAATGTTTTGCGCTTTCGACAGCTGCCAGCTGCCAGTTGCCATAGTTATTTGTCAACATCGAGATTAGCTGCGAATTTTGTGAGGTATTTTCGCTTTTCTCGTGCCCCAAGCCCAGGAATATTAGGATTGGGTAAATATGTAAGTAAATCTAGATCCGTTCAATCACTGGTTTAGAGAACTTGTGTCTGGAATAAAGTAGAAAAGCTGATTTCTGAATCTCCATTTCAACTACGTCGCCTAGTCAAAATGGCGTACGCTGATCGCTTTTACTATTTGTTTTTGTTGTTAATTAGCAAATTGCTTTTAACAAGCGGAATTGCTGCTCCCATTCGCATGCCACATCGTTAATTTTCAGGTCTTACAACCAAGGAGGAGGATTTCGAGGTCGCGACAGCAACTTCGGCTCAGGGGGCTTCAATCGGAGCTTCGGGGGGCGAAGTGGCGATGGCGAAGGCTTCAGAAGCGGCGGGGGCGGTTACCGCAGTGGCGGCGGCGGCGGGTTTAGAAATGGATCAGGTGAGATCAGAGTTGATAATAAAAGTACAACATATTGAAGCATCATTATGTGATGTCACATTGAGATTTGATTTGATCGATTTGGAGCCAGTTGAAGTGCTTGATCGGCTGTCTAAAATCTCCAGTGATAAACACAAAAAGCATCTTCTTACACAGTCCAGACTTGTAATGGTGTAAGCCTAAACTTGTTTCTTATTGCTTGTAGGTGGCAGAGGTGGCGATCGCTTTGAAGGTGGTGGAAGTCGATTTGGTGGCCGAGGAGGAGGCGGCGGCGGTCCGGGCAAAGGACTGCGGAAGCCCCATTGGGACATGCAACAGCTGCACCCGTTTAAAAAGGACTTTTATGTCCCACACCCAGCTGTGGCCAGTCGTTCCACTTACGAAGTAGAGGCATTCAGGCAAGCCAAGGAAATCACCGTTGACAGCGAGGTTCCCAACCCAATCCAGAACTTCGAGGAGGCCAGTTTTCCGGATTATGTGTTGCAGGAAGTCCATAATCAAGGTAACCGATTGGCGCTTTGCAATTGCCAAAAAATCACAGCCAAAACGGTTGTTTCAGGCTATGATTTTCCCACTCCAATCCAATCTCAAGGATGGCCGATAGCGCTCAGTGGACGCGATATGGTCGGCATTGCTCAAACCGGATCGGGGAAAACACTGGCTTACATCCTTCCGGCTATAGTGCACATTAAGAACCAGCCGCGACTAAGTCCTGGTGAAGGTCCGATAGCGTTGGTGCTGGCGCCCACTCGAGAACTCGCCCAACAAATCCAGCAAGTATGTGGCCCTCCTCCAAGGCAAATTAAACGTTTTTCCAATTCGCAAATTTGTTGCTATCTGCTCACTAGGTGGGTGCTTTGTTTTTGCAGGTGGCCAACGATTTTGGACGGTCGTCTTACATCCGTAACACCTGCGTGTTTGGTGGGGCCCCCAAAGGGCCCCAGGCCAGGGATTTGGAGCGAGGCGTGGAGATTTGCATCGCTACGCCAGGCAGATTGATCGATTTCCTGGAAAAGGGCTCCACTAATCTGGCCAGATGCACCTACTTGGTGCTGGACGAGGCCGACAGAATGCTGGACATGGGCTTCGAGCCGCAAATTCGCAAGATAATCGAGCAGATTCGCCCGGACAGGCAAACGTTGATGTGGTCGGCCACTTGGCCTAAGGAAGTCATGCGACTTGCGTCCGATTTCATGACTGACTTCATCACCATCAACGTTGGTTCGCTGCAACTTTCCGCCAATCACAACATCCTGCAGATTGTGGATGTTTGCCAGGAGCATGAGAAGGAATTTAAGTAAGTTACGCGTAGTCAAGCGCGCAATTTGGCTCTGATTTAGGTGTTTATTTTGAGGTTGAACCAGTTGCTGCAGGAAATCGGGAACAATGCAGAGCCGGGGGCGAAAGTGATTATTTTCGTGGAAACCAAAAAGAAAGTGGAGCAAATAACCAGAAATCTCAAACGGTACGGCTGGTCCGCTCTGTGCATGCACGGTGACAAAAGCCAGCAGGAGCGCGACTATGTCCTGAAGGACTTTAGAATGGGGAAATCCACTATTCTAGTTGCCACTGATGTGGCGGCAAGGGGACTAGGTAAGTCCGTTGATCTATTAACTCCTGGTTTCGGCGTATGCAGTTTATAAGCGTTTGTGCTCGTTGTAGCCGACTACAGTTTAATACTTGCGATTTGCCATCAAAAATGCAGTTAAAACACTGCTAGTTGGTTGTTTCTTCATTGACGCTTCTCCAAACTTACCTATAGTAGCACCGTAGGATTTTCCAGACTGGTTCAGTTTCAAAAGTTAATGTTTGTTTTTTTTGTTAAGAGTTAAGTACTGCTATGGGCAGATGCTGAACTTGTAATAAGCGCATGTTTTATCGTGAAGGGATTAAATGAAATCTGATGAATTTCGGGCAATAATCAACTGAAGAAACAGTGCTGTCGGGAAGGGAAGACTCAAAGTAACATCAGCAGTATGTAAGCTACTATTTGATTTAGCCGGATTAGGGAACAGGGAACTAGCCGTTGTTGATTGTCGGTGTAGGATATTCTCGGGTGACTGTAGATTGTAGAACGTAATTGTTTGATTGGATTCTTGTCCCATAACGAGTTAATCAGTCTGGGTATCCTTTTTTTCTGTTTCAGAGGCACAAGCAGGCTCCGGCGTATTCGGCATTGCAGCTAAACAATCAAAATAATCTAAAGTCTATGCCCAGAATACGCCAAACAGTTGTGTTCTAAACAAATAGGATACAATTCAGTGTCTTGCGGGTGTCTCTGGCTGTCTACCCCAAATTTTGGAATGGGTAGAAGACCGATGGGCTTGTTTGATGTGTGGCCGCATCAAATGATTGGCATATTATGGACCTCCACCCTTATTTTAACTAAATTTCACACTGCGCGCTTTAAGGCTCACTGCGTTGTAAATGTTTAAACTAAAGTGAGCTTGTGTGTGCGACATCCTTCTAGAACAGAAGAGTCGATTAAAATTCCCCACACCAGCTCGGCTGTTAAAAGTCGTCCAATCAGTCCGATGCACTGCCTTCGGGTGAGTTGCCCAACTTCAACAAAGTAAGGAAAACAATGGCCGAGCTGAGCGGACTCATTTATTCATCCAGAAGTATGTCAATCTGTCGGTCCTGCAGTGGAAGTTTCTAAACGGGCTCCTGCTCGAATTAGCGGCAAGCCGCCACTGCAGCAGCTACTTAATCTAGCGACTTAATGCTACTATAGCTAATTTAATCTAATCCGCTCCTGGCCAGGGCACTTTTTTGCTGGAGAAGTTTCTGAATCGATGGGTTAGTACTTTTACTCACTTTTTTCTCTCCTTAGGTCTGTTTACAGGGTTTTCGTATATTTTTGCTTATTAAGACCCCAGCTACTATCACTTGTCGCATTAGCCGCATTAAGGATGTTTTTCCATCGTTAGCTGAAGGCGATCAGTTTGCTTGCTTCAATTTCCTTAAAAAAATCTGGCTAGTTTTTGAACAGCTGCTCTGATACAATTTGTTCAAGATAGAAAGGGCCCCAATGGGGAATGAAGAACCGGCAATCATCTATGTATTTGCGGTTTTTTACATCCCCGTCATGGCGCTTCTTATCGGGGACACACTGTACTTTATACCCTTGTGTGGTAATGTTTAGAAGGCAACTAACTGTCCAATGATTGCTTTTGTTTGGGAATTTTGCCTCACTTTTTAAAATTGTTAATTAAAATTCGCGCTCACTGCGTCCACATAAAAGGAACTGTAAACATCAAAGCGCCTCTGTCAAATGCAGTGTTTAAGAAAAGCATATACAAAAACTGAAACTAATGGGTTTTTCGGGTTTTTAGGCCGTCGTTCGGTAGAATTTCTACTTGACGTTTCGCAAGCACGAGTGGCTTGCATCTTCAGAGTGGTTTGCTTGAACGCTTACACTGTTCTCATCAGAACCCGTTCAGTTCTTCCGCAGAACTGACTCGTGCTTGCGAAACGTCAAGAAGAAATTTTACCGAACGACGAAAATGTATTCCTGACGTTTCGCAAGCACGAGTGGCTTGCATCTTCAGAAGTGGTTTGCTTGAACGCTTACACTGTTCTCATCAGAACCCGCGTTCAGTTCT